CCCTGCTCCAGCCGTCCCTAAAACTCTCCCTGGGCAGCGAGAGTTTTTCAGTAATTCCTGGAAGGACTCTGGCCTGATGAAGTCTCCCCGGGTCACTAGGGTTCCCGGGAGTTCTGAGGACTCCAGGTCTAGAGGGTACCCGGGTCAGAAGAAGTCTCCCGCCCGCCCTGTCGGTGCAGGGCCTGGATCAGGCACGCGGAGGCACCTGCTCCCGACATGGGAACGAGGGAGGTGGGAGAGGGCAAGAACAGAACGAGCCCCTCGCTCCCCCTGCTCCAGGTGGGCAGTTAGCTCACTGTGCGTGGGGCGGTGCGCCGGCTGCCCACCTCCCACAGAAGCAGCGACCCCAAGGCCATGGAGCGGGCTGCTCACTCCGGCAGAACGTGGTGGCTACCAGCCCCGCGGTCACCCTGGCTGCCGACACCCCCAGAATGCCCGTCACGTGCTAGGTGCTGTACCAGGCCCTGCACGCTGCCCTTCTGTCGTCAGCCCTGCTCCCCAGACGGGGAGGCAGAGGTCGGCCAGGTTTACCATCACGCCCACCACCCTCGGCGCAGCACGACCTCACTCCTGTTCCAGTGGCCCTGAAGCTCAAGTTCTTGACCGCTGCGTGACATTCCGCGAGCGCGTCTCCGTTTTCAGAGACCAGATCTAGAGGATTTCGCGCTTATCACCCGCCACGGGGCGCAGTCCACGCACGGCACCTGGCTGCCCGTTCACAGCAACCCCACGTAGTCGTTATGATCCATCTTACGAGTGCGAAAACTGCAGCTTCGGGAGATCAGCTCAAGTTCCCCAGTCAGACACCGGACGCGCATGTGGGTCCGACTGCAAGGCCCCTGACGCTACCCGTGACCGTGTGGCCTAAAGACACCCGTGGGGGGGGGGGCGCCCCGTCTCCTACGACTCTGGCTGCTCCCCAGTCTCGGCCGCAGCGCCGTAAGCAGCGGGTGCTCAATGCTGCTGACTGCAAGACCTGCCCGCAGTGCCGCCCCGGGGGCAGCCCTACCTCAGGCATCTCCTCGTCTTCGTCTTCGGAAGACACGTCCTCCTGCGTGCACTGCGGCGGGAGGGGAAGGCAGAGATCAGAGCCCCAGTGGCCTCCAACCTCTGCCCGAGCCCCGGGTCTGGGGACGGGGCGCCTGCCCTCACGCCCCAGCCTCTCCACCAGCCAGGTCCGAATGGAAGCCACAGCCCAGGGAGCGACTTCACTGGCAGCCTGTCCTCCTCCCGCCACGAGCTAAAGATCAGGAGACGCCCAGTGGCTGTGTGTGTCACCCACGTACACGGCCCGGTGCAATTCTCCCAAGAACCCCTCCCTATCGCCTCTAGACTGACGCCATGCTGGCGGGTCTCAGCGAGGAGCCCGGGCCCCCGATGGCCGCCCACTGCTACCGCTGATAGTAAAAAGGTCCCTACCCCTCACCCCGGGAGACACGCCCGTGGGTGAATGTGATAGGTGAGACCAGTAGCGCCCCGTCTGGAGACGGAAAGCCGAGAGCCACGCACGCATACGTGTCTGCAGTGGCCGGAAGGGGAGAGACACTCCTGCGGGTGTGTCTCAATGGACAGGGGTCACTGAGTGCCACAGGGCCCCCGGAGCCCCCCCGCCGCTCACCTGCTCTGCGGGCAGGGGCTGGTCCAGCATCTCCACGTCTGGGTGCTGAGGGAGGTTGTAGAGTTTACACAGGTCGGAGATGATCCTCTTCAGATGCTGCAACAGCTGGGGTAGGGGACACAGTGCTGGAGTCAAATGCTCCGGCCCCATTCACTCCGGACAGGCGTGTGTGGATGAGCTCCTAAAACCCCACGTGGTACCTAGTTCTCTAAATCTTGGGGACCGTGTGGCTATGGGGGGAGTTTACTGGACCAACGCTGGGTTTGGCTCAAAGCTCTCCCTCCGGCTTCAGAAAACACCTCTTCTGAGGAGTCTGCCCCAAGATGTGCCCTTTCCAAGTATGTCTCCCTTTCACAGGGTGTCTCCGTGACATGGGCCTCACAGCAAGAAAGGGTGCCCCCCACCCCAGCACCCTGGCCCCTCACCAGAGTATTCCCTTTCTTTATGTCCACCAGCCTCTCCAAGACAGCAGCCAAGTTCGGGTCATCGGACTCCACTGACCAGATGGGGGGCACAGCAGGGTAGGACTCCTGAGGGGAAAGAGCAGGAACAGTGGTCAAGACGGGAGACCCTGGGAAGGGCTACATTTTGCCTACCTCCTCTCCCCCCAACATTTCTAGTCCCTTTGCCCCCTCTGCCCCCAACAAAAGCCCAGCTCGGCAGGTTATCTAACCGAACAGCCTCCCAACAAACCCCAGGCCAGGAGAAGAAGTCCCCGAGAGGGCCCTTTCTAAAAAGCCTGAAGGCTTCTTTCTCTTCTCAAGAGCAAGCATCAAAGTGCAGCCACACTGTGCACGGGGGTAGGGGGTGGGGTGGGGGGGGTGGGGTCTCCTCTCCACCACGCTGCTGGTACTGGTTCTCCCACTCCCAGCACAGAGCCCGCCAGCCCTGCTGCTCTTCCAATCCCACGGTCCGTTCAGGAAGGGGTCCCCTCATCACAATCACACTGATGTGAAAAAAAGCAAAGGTTGCAGATCACTTTCACTTTAGCTGAGGAAGGAGAGGCAAAAACTATATTCTGTCTCCAGAACCTAAAAGAAGGAAGCAGGAAGACTCTCCCCACCAGGTCACTCCCAGCAGACGCCCTGGAAGGCCAGTTCTCCCCATCGCTCCCTTGGGAGCCTGCCACCCTCTCTGCCCAGCGTAGGCTGCAGGGCTCCACATGGCAGGCTGGGAGGAAGAAGCCTACGCTGCTAGCATTCCCAGCATTCCTGAGCCACGGTGCCAAATGCAGCCTGACCAGACTCCCCCTCTGCCCAAACCTAGGGGCCCAGTTCAGGCCAAGTCTCCTTTGCAGGGGCCACAGGGAGTGTGACTGAGAACCTCCTAAACTAACTTCCTTCTGGGCACAAAGACAGTGGATGGACTCTGGCCGCTAGAAGGGGGCAAACCTACCCTCCAGGAGCTGGAAGTTCAATACAGGAACAGAATCAGCTCCCGGGGTTTCCACCCACATCAGGGAAACCTACCCACTTCTACTGGGGGTCTTAGCTCTGTCACAGTGCTAGCCCCTCAGTGCTGGAAAAAACGATCGCAAAAAAGATGCTCAAGTCTTCACCTCACTAAACCACACCCAGTCCTTCAATCTCAACTTTTTAGTGCAAAAAAAGTGGAGGAAGGAGGAAATGGGACATGCGTTTTGGTGGGGCACCATCCAACCCAGGCTGAGGCTTGCCATACGCCTTGACCTGGTTTGATGGAGGAAAAGGGATAGAAAACAAGGACCACGTAAACTGCAATCAGGCCCCCAAGTACCCCACACCTGGCAAGTCCGTCTCTCCCCAGACTACTGGCATTTGCAGTCAGCCTGCCTGTCCCCTGGCTCCCTAACGCCCCTGGCAGGGAGAACGCTATCACAGCAGGTAGGATCAGCCAGAATCAGTGCTCTGCCGTGCAGTATTAAGCCTGCTCAGGTTATACGGCGCTGACCCTCTTGCAGAGGTGTCTGAAGATGCACAGACAGGGGACACGTAGGGTGTCTCCTAGTTCAGCATGCCTAGCACGGGATGATGTTCGCTGGGGAGAAAGGGGCCGTTACTCCTCAGAACCAAGGGGATGGCCCTCCCACATCACCAGGAAAGGCAACCACCCAGGGCAACTGGAGATACCCCAGGGCACAGGAGGGGAGTGGCAGATCTGCTACCAGCTGGGGCAAAAGGAGGGGAATTAGAGGTTACACCGGAATGCAAGGGGAACCAAAGGAGGAGAACAAAAAGAAGAGTCCACCACCTGCGAACCCCCACTTGGTAATATTCAGGGAGCAAAGGGGGGCTTCGGGAGAGGTGCCGGCGCAGAGATCCCACAGGTGGCACCGTCCTAAGTCGAAGGTAGGAGCGACCAGGGGCCATCACTGAATGGTGCAGGGCTCCAGGCCAGGGAGGTCCTTGCTACTGTGCTCAGGGCAGAGGCCCGGAGCCCTGCGATGACAGCAGGGGAAGAAAGGGGCCTTCGCAGGCGGGAAGGCAAAGTCGCAGGGGGCCAGATCACGACCCTCGGGATGCGGGTTAGCGGCAGGGGCCGGTCGAGGCGCCATATGTCGGGGCGCCCCTTGCCACCAAGGGTCCGTGGCACGCTCCGGGCGCACGGCACAAGCTCCAGCGGCAGAAGCAAGGGGAACCCGCCGGGAAGGAGCCGAGCCCGAGCCGGGGGGACTGGGCCTCCCAGGTCCTCGGAGAGCAAGCGGCCGTGCGGGGCGGCCCCGAGTGCCTGACAAGGGGCCCCGGAGGGGCGCGCCGAGGGGTCCTCACCGTGATGTTGCAGTGGATGCGGACGGGGTCCCCGGGCAGCGGCCCCCGCGGGGGCAGATGCGGTCCGGGCGCGGCCCCCGCCCCGGCCCCTCCAGCCCCGGCCAGCAGGAACTCGCAGCTCAGCTCGTCCAGACAGGCGCTGGCAATGCGGAAGCGCTCGTGGCCGCGGTGGAAGATGGACTCGAGCAGCTTCAGCTCCCGCCTCAGGCAGGGCCCCGGCCCCGGGCCCCCCCCCGGGCCGCCCCCGGCCCCCGGCGCCGCCCCCTGGCCCCCCAGCTGCTGCCCCGGCCCCGGCTGCTGCTGCCCCTGCGGCTGCGGCTGCTGCATCCTCCGCTCCGCTCCGCTCCGGGGCCGGCGGGCCGGGAGCCTCCGGCCTCCGCTCGGGCTCCGCCGCCGCCGCCGCCGCCGCCGCCGCCGCGGTCCGCACTTCCTGATCCCCCCTTCGCCAAGATGGCGCCGCCGCCGCCTCCGGGACGGGGCCCCCCCGCTCGCCGGCCCCCAGCCGCCGGAAGCCGCGCGCCCCTCCCCCTCCGCTTCGGCGGCCCGCCCCGCCCCTCACGTGACCGCGCGGCGCCGGCCCTCCTCACGTGACCTCTCCCTCTCGCCCGCCCCCTGGTGCGCGCCTGCCGCCCTCCACACGTGACCCAGGGGCTTTGGGCCCGGCGCTGTCGGCGCCTCCGCGCGTGCTTACGCACGTTGTGCGCGCGCGCGTCAGCCCCGCCGGCGTTCCCGGTCACGTGTCCGGGCGCCGCGTGCTCCCAGGGGCCCCCGCGCGGGACCCGCTTTCTCCGCGCGGCGTGTCCGCCCCGGACCGAGCCGCGGCGGGCCTGCGGCGTGCGGAGAGGGGGCCCCGGGCCTCTGCGCCGCGGGGCCTTCACGGCGACCGGCTGGGCGAGAGCGCGCGAGCGGCGACTGGGGCTCGCAGGCTAGTCCCCGCCCCGCCGCCAGCCGGGCGTGTGACCTTGGGGAATCCCCGCCCCCCCGAGCCTCGGTGTCTCCGTCTGTGCGGTGGCTCTGGGCCGGGCAGCGCGCACAGTGCCTGCTCCAAACGGCTGCCGGGCGCGCAGGGAGACAGCCGTGCAGGGTCCGGTCCCGGCCGTCCGGGGCGTGGCCGGCCGCTGACCCCCGCCTCGTCAGCCCCCGCGGGCGGGACGAGGCTGCGGGCTGCGTGGGCCTCGCTCGTCCCGGCGCGACCCGCCGGCCTGAGCGGCCACGGCCCGACCTGGGCGGCGGCTGCTGCCTGTGGCGGTGCCGCTGGCCCTCGCTAGGTGGCACTGCCGCCGGGGACCGAGCGGCGGACCGTCCGGAGGCTTGGAGGCCCGCGGCCGGCCTCCTCCTGCCCCGGGCCCCGGCGCAGCGTGCGGTGGGGCCCGGGGAATTCTGCTGGCCAGGTTGCCCGGGCTAAAACGCCTGGGCTTTGCGGGGAGCGGGCTGCAGACCCTGGTGCGCGGGGCTGGGCCACTCGTGTATCTGGTCAGGGCGGCTGAGCAAGGCCTCCTTCGGCCGACTTGGGCTCTGGGCACTTAGAGGCGGCTGAGGCGTGCTCTGCTCGCTGGGGCCCTTGTCTCCTTGGGGGAGCCCGAACGGTTGGCTCCAGGTCCCCTTCGTGTCCGTGGGTGCAAGACGGTAGCATAGAAGAGGCTGTGGCAGCCGTGCCCACTTCCTGAGTCAGGGTGTCTTGCAAGTATGTCTAGTCCCCAGCAACTGCGCAAGGTAGGCATTTCTTATCCCTGTTTTACGAGTGGGGGGCAAGCGGTGGCCACGCGAGGACACCCAGCTGGCAAGCAGCGTGCTGGGCTTCCCTCCAGTCCCTGCCGCTCTGCCCCACTCTGCCTCCCTCGGATGCTTTCTCAGGAGGGTTTCACATAGCTTGACTCCAGTCAAAAAAACCCCACAGATGCGGCCATTTGGAAAAGCCTGAATTCCACATTTTAATTAATGAATGAACTTATTTATTTGTGGTTTTTAAAAATTTTACTTTTTTTTTAGAGTGAGCAAGGCGAGAGGGGCAGAGGGAGAGGAGAGAAAATCCGAATAAGCAAGCTCGGTGCTCAGCCCGGTGCAGAGCTGGACGCGGGGCTCGATCGCATGACTGAGATTATGACCCGACCCAAAACCAAGAGTCAGATGCTTAACCGACTGGGGGACCCAGGCGCCCCTGAATTCCATATTTTGTAAAGGGTTTTAACAGAAGGAAACAAACTGACGAGACACTCCCACGGCGTTTCACGGACTCCAGAAAGTCAAAAGTCGTGGGCACTGAGGGGAGAGGGGTGTCTTCCTCTCTGCTGATCTGTTTGGTGCCTCAGCTCTCGGGCTGGGAGAGCCCTCTGGTAGAAGCCTAGCGTGGAGTCCTATCTGCTGAAATGTGGAGGGCAGGGGCATTAGACATGAAGGGAAGTGATGGTTACAGTCACTTGACGAATCCTCGGGTGCTAGGGAAGCAGGAGTGAGTAAAACAAAACTCCCCGCTCTTGTGCAGCCTGCGTTCCATTGGGGGAAGCTGATACGGCAAAGCCAGCTGACTCACGAGACCCAGGATGCCACCTGCCGCACGTGAGGTAGCGCTGAGTGCGTCCGACCCTGTCCTCACCCTTCCCTGCGTTCAGCCCGGTGGGAGGTCAGACATACGCAGGCCCTTCACTGCAGCTATGGGACGTGCCTCAGAGGACAAGACTGGAGCTCGGTGAAGGCATCCCGCAAGAGGCGGCACGCTAAATCCTGAAGGATAAGTAGCATTCCTCAGGGGGAAAGGGCTGGGCGCTGTCCCTGGCAGGAAGGATGGCGTGTGGGAAGGTTCTGAGGTAGGACCAGAGCAAGCCGGAGGAAGGGCCGGAAGGCTGTGTCTGGAGAGGGACACAGATGAGGCAGGCAGAGGTCAAGTCTTGGTAGATATTCAAAACCATGTTTAGGAACTTGGGCTTGACTTTAAGATCAAGGAGGACCTTATCCAGGCAAGTTACTCAGCCTTTCTGTGCTTTGGGTTCTGTTCCTGTAACAGGGAGATAGTCCTCGCACCTACCTCATACGGTTGTTGGGAGATTGGGCAACATAACATGAGGAAAGTGCTTAGAGTGGCGCACCTGGTAAAGAACTTTCAAGGTTTTTGGAAAGTGGAGGATCAGCATACCTTGAGTCTCAGGAGAGGAGAGAGGGTAGGAAATGAGGCCAGTGGCGAAAGCGGGGGTTGAGTTGCGGAGACCACGGTAGGTTGTGCGGGTTTTATTCAGAGTGCAGAGGGAAACCAAGGCAGGTTTTAAGCTAGGAATGGCATGATCTGATTTAAAATGTTAAAAGGTCATTCTGGCTGCTCTATTAAAAATGAACTGTAGAGTGAGTTTGTTTTTTTTTTCTCCGAAAGGGCATGTGTTATCAGAGTGAGCAGATGCACCTGTTTGGGACACAGTGAGCGGCTTTCTCCTTTGACAAGCTCCCAGAAGCACAGTATTCTGTCACAGACTCAACACATATGTGCCAGGCACTGGCTCTTTGTGGGGAACCGTAGGGGCACTGGGGAGGCAGCAACTCCTGGCACAGAGAGGAGGCTCCTTCCACGACAGCTGCTACTCACTTGATCCTGAGCACACAGTAGTGGATAAACTGGAGGCGGATGTCATCAACTGTAATACAGAGTGATGAACAGAGGGATCAAGAGCGATAAGGGCCTTGAAGGGTGATATTAGTCAGGAATAACTCCCAAGAAGGAATGTAAAGAAGTTACTTAGATGGAAATGGGGGGACATTCTGAAAGAACTGGGCCTGAAAGTAGAAGGAGATCGGGAAGAAAGGTAAGGGAGAAGAGGGGACAAGGAGAGGGCTCAGCAGAGGCAAGAGGGGTAGAGGTGTTCGCCTTTGGAGCTTGAGCCTGAGGCCCCAGGGCAACTCCGATAGTACCAAGCCAGAGGAGGTCAATTTACCAATACAGCAGTAATTTAAAAATTTAAAAATCTTTGATCCATCAACGTCACTTGGAAATTATTAAAGAAATGTGCAGAAATTTTCCTGCAGTGGAATACACTGCAGCTATTAAAAATAGTTACCAAAGAACACTCACTGACAGAGGTATTTGAGAAACAGTAAGTGGAAGTTACAAGTCTAGATTTACAGAGTGCTCCTTTATTTTTTAATTTTTTAAAAATTTTTTAAATTTTAATTTTTAAAAATTTTTAAAAATTTTTTAAAAAATTAGAGCAGGTGAGAGAGCACAAGCAGGGGGAGCTGCAGAGGGAGAGGGAGAAGCAGACTCCCCGCTGAGCAGGGAGCCCGACGTGGGGCTCGATCCCAGGACCCCGGGATCATGACCTGAGCCCAAGGCAGACGCTTAACCGACTGAGCCACCCAGGCGCCCCAGGGTGCTCCTTTAAACAAAATAAGTAAAAATGTATGTGATTTAGTTATGAACCCAACAAATGCATATTTTTGTACACTAAAAACATGAGGGGTGCCTGGGTGACTCAGTTGGTTAAGCGACTACCTTCAGCTTGGGTCATGATCCCGGAGTCCCGGGATCAAGTCCCGCATCGGGCTCCCTGCTCGGTGGGGAGTTTGCTTCTCCCTCTGCCCCTCCCCTCTCGCATGCTCTCTTTCATTCTCTCTCTCAAATAAATAAAATCTTTAAGATTATTTATTTATCTATTTATTTATTTGACAGAGAGAGACACAGTGAGAGAGGGAACACAAGCAGGGGGAGTCGGAGAGGGAGAAGCAGGCTTCCCGCAGAGCAGGGAGCCCAATGTGGGGCTCGATCCCAGGACCCTGGGATCATGACCTGAGCCGAAGGCAGACGCTTAACAACTGAGCCACCCAGGCGCCCCAATAAATAAAATCTTTAAAAAAAATGAACAAGTACGTTCATGGCAGTATATTATTTTTAATAATTCAAAACAGGAAACACCACAAATCCCACAGTGGTGGCGTGGATGAACGAGGGCGTGTCCGAACAGGGAGTGTGCTCAGCAGTGCCCACAAGTCTCACTAACATAATGTCTAAAAAACCACACAAAGATTATGATTCTCTTTATATAAATTTAGCAAGCAAAGTCAATGTGTGCTGTTAGAAGTCAGAATAGTGGTTACTTTTTTCAGTCATTTTTTTTAAGTTGTGGGAAAATACATGTAATGTAGGATTTACTATTGTAAGCATTTTAAAGTGTCCGACCCCGTGGCATTCAGTACATTCAATGTTGTGTATCCATGGCTTCTGTCGAGCGCTTGAACTTTAAGCAGCATCCCCCCCTCCGCCCTCCATGATGTTCCTTTTGGAGAGGAGGGAATGATGACTGGGAGGGAACATAATGGGGACTTCTGGGTGGTGGTAATGTTCTATTTTTTTATCGGGGTGGGACTATATGGATGTGTTCATGTTGTCAAAATTTAGCTGTTCACTTGTAATTTATATATGTTTTGTATGTGTATCATATCTAAGTACACATTAATTTGGAGATATGTAATATCTACCTATTTGTATAGATAGCTATTATATAGATTTTTTTGTTTAAGAAATAAAATTATTTTATTTAATAAAATATTTTTATTAATGTATAAATATATTAGATATTTATATGTAAAGTGTTAACAGTCTTTTTTTCTAGGAGGTAGGATCATGAATCTTTTCTACTTTGTTTTGCTAATTTGTGTTTTCCAATTGGTTTTCATGAATATGTATTACTCTGGTAATAGTTTTTAACAGTGAAGTAGTTTTAAATTTAAAATAACTTGGGAGGCGTTTGGGTGGCTCAGTCATTAAGCGTCTGCCTTCGGCTCTGGTCGTGATCTCAGGGTCCTGGGATCAAGACCCACATCAGGCTCCTTGCTCAACGGGGAGCCTGCTTCTCCCTCTCCCACTCCCCCTGCTTGTGTTCCCTTTCTCTCTGTCTCTCTGTCAAATAAATAAAATCTTAAAAATAAGTAAATAAAATAACTTGGGATGCCTGGGTGGCTCAGTCGGTTAGACGTCTGCCTTCGGCTCAGGTCATGATCTCAGGATCCTGGGATCGAGCCCCGCATCGGGCTCCCTGCTCAGCATGGAGCCTGCTTCTCCCTCTGCCTGCTCCCCCTGCTTGTGCTCTCTCTCTCTCTCTGTCAAATAAATAAAATCTTGAAAAAATAAAGGAAAATAGCATTAATTGCAGTGCCTCACAAGAGAAAATGTTCCTTACCATCAGAGTCAATGGGAGTGTCCCCGCAGAACTTTGCCTGGTTACCATTTTGCCCCAAGGCTGACCCTTCTAGATGTGTCCATCACTCTGCATGGTTCTGGCTGGGACATTCTCTCTCCCTGACCGCCTTCTGGTGGGTGTGGGAGGAGGGTGTGAGGGAGACATGTGGGAGGGAGGTCCAGCTCTCCTTGGCCACCGGGTGGTTGTACTCAGAGGACTCTGTCGAGCTGGAATTAAACTTGAAGTAGAGCTCACTTCTCAGCACATAGGCTGAAATTGGAATGATACACAGAAGATTAGCATGGCCCCTGTGCAAGGCTGACATGCAAATTCATGAAGCATTTCATATTTTATTTAAAAATAAAAAATAGGGGTGACTGGGTAGCTCAGTTGGTTAAGCGTCTGCCTTCGGCTCAGGTCATGACCCTAGGGGTCCTGGGATAGAGTCCCGCGTCGGGCTCCCTGCTCAGCAGAGAGTCTGCTTCCCCCTCTGCTCGTGCTCGTTCTCTCTTCTCTCTCTCAAATAAATAAGATATTTTAAAAAATTAAAAATTAAAAAATAATAAACTTGAAGCAAAAGCTGGGGAATCTGAGAAGACGGAGGCCAAGGTGAGCAGGCTACATGGACTGGCCCGAAAGGAGCGTCAGGAGCAGCCAAAGGCTTCAAGCAAGCCCATGACCCTCCAGTCCATCATTCCAGAAACAAGCAACCATTCCAGAGAACACTCAGCCTTCCTCAGCCACCTTGCATCCACCAAAAGAGAAAAATCTTAAGTACTAAGTACATCTGCATGTACAGCTCCCTGGCATTCTTGTTCAGGACTTTTTTTTTTTTTTTTTTTTTAAGATTTTATTTATTTATTTGACAGAGAGAGACACAGTGAGAGAGGGAACACAAGCAGGGGGAGTGGGGGAGGGAGAAGCAAGCTTCCTGCTGAGCAGGGAGACCGAGGGAACACAAGCAGGGGGAGTGGGGGAGGGAGAAGCAAGCTTCCCACTGAGCAGGGAGCCCGAGGCGGGGCTCGATCCCGGGACCCTGGGATCATGACCTGAGCGGAAGGCAGGCGCTTAACGACTGAGCCACCCAGGCGCCCCTCTTGTTCAGGACTTTGAAATGCCTCTAAGTCACCCTGTTTTGCTGGCTTCCTCCTCTTTGAAATCTCAGTTTCCTGCAGATGCTCAGGAACTATTACCTTCGCCTCCTCGTACCACCTTGTTCATATCTCTACCCGAGCGGTCACCACACTATGTAGTAAGTCTTTGCCACCAAACTGTGACCTCCTTAATAGCTAGGTGCTTTGATCACTGTATCCTCAACACCTATACAATCATTGAAAACAGTAGATCCCCAACAAATGTTGATCTGAAATGTTGAAGGTGGGTCTTTTTCCCACCTCGGATCCTCTCACCAAATGGAGTGATTGCACAGTTTTCTTCTCTTTTCCTTAAGGCTTTTAGTCTCCACTCCTTTCCTCGCTTCCAAGATTTCTTTCGTTCTTAGGAGATCATTACATGTATGCATCTGTCCTGCAGCTTGTGCAGGTCTGTGCCCACTGCCACGCATCACAGGGCCTGTGGCCACTCACTTCTTTTCCGGTACTTGTCTTGTTTTTGCCCTTCAATTTCAGGAACTGAGGACATGTTAAATAAGTTGCTTTTAGCTGAGCTTTTATTTATTTTTTTAAATATCAGTTTCTTGGATTTATTTATTTTTGATTATGTATTTAATTTTTTTACAATAAACATACAGCATATTTGTAATGAAAAGAAATAAACACATAATCAAAAATTTATAAAAGACACCCACTGTAAAGCCAATGTGTAAGCCATCACTGAGAGTAACAGGCAATAACTGATTAAAGCATGAAGTATTCACTGATAAGAGAAAACTTTAGAAAGGACTTAGGGCCATTATGGACAAAACAGCTAATATCTGGTACAGAGAAAGTAGTCACTGATTGTCTCAAGGCAATGGGCTGGTGGAGGGAGCTTTTTCATGGAAACCATGCCCTCAGTATCATTTTACTTTAAAGTAAAATAAATATCCTGATTTTCTTAAATCCAGCTTTGACCACAGTCTAATTCATGTCCAAATGAGTGTGATGATACTGGGTATAGAGGAAGGTTTAGCTGAGCTTTTTTTTTTTTTTTTTTTAAGATTTTATTTATTTATTTGAGACAGAGAGAATGAGAGAGACAGAGAGCACATGAGAGGGGGGAGGGTCAGAGGGAGAAGCAGGCTCCCTGCCGAGCAGGGAGCCCGATGCGGGGACTCGATCCCAGGACTCCAGGATCATGACCTGAGCTGAAGGCAGTCGCTTAACCAACTGAGCCACCCAGGCGCCCTAGCTGAGCTTTTAAGAAGGAATTTTCCCCTACACACTAGAAGATGTCTGTCCTATACTAGCCTCTTTTCTTATTTGTTGAGTCCTCATGACAAGCCTGGCACTGTGCAGGTTCATGATCTGTCAGCAGAGGCAACCACTGCCTTAGGGTGGTTTTCATCGACTGGACATCCTTTGCGAACATATAGCGGGGCATTTGTCTTAGTCCTTGGTCAGATAGAGCTTCCTTGAGGAAGTGACATTTCTGTCAAACGTTCAAAGTTGACTAGAAGGTGGTTGAGGGGAAACAGGTGATAAAAGAGCCAAGGGAACAACGACAGGTTAAAAGGCCCTGGAGTGTGGAGGATGGGGCAGGGGCCGGGGTGGATAATGTCCATGATTTGAAGACCTCACCAGTAGCTGGAGTGTGGAGCTGGGTGGAGTGGTCCAGATGAGGCTGAAGAAGTAGGCAGAGAGGGACTCAGACAGAGCCTGGATGTATGATAAGGCTGCTTTAGTCAATAATCTTAGTTGTAAGTGACAAAAATCCACCTAAGAGAAAAGGGAAGACTTAATTGCTTTCATGGTCAAAGACGTCATTGAGTTGTGAATCCTCTGGCTCTGTTTGCTCTCCTTTGCATTAGCTTAATCTTGGGCTGGCCTCTGAGAAATGGTCCTCTGATCCCCTTTGTTACACAGAAGCCAAAGACTGGGGTGGAAAGGAATGGGAGTGAGAAAGCCTCTTTTCAGGCCCCCTGGGGGAGGGCAGGAAGGTCGGCCTCTGAGGGAGTTCATGGAGGTAGAGAAGGGGACGGTTGAGGGATGCTGTTTCCAGACTCCAAAGCTGTTTGCTTTTGAAAAATAGCAAACCCACAGCCCCCTATCTCTGGAAAGGCCTAAAATGCATTCTCTCAGCTGCATCCTGAGCCTTCCAAGGAAACAGGATCATTTGGATTGGTAAGAGCAAACAAGGAGGGCGGGGACCCCAGAAACTCCTCCCGACTCCCGCCCCTCATTCTGGCCCCTGTGCTAAGCGGGTCCTGACCTATTGGTCTTGCTCGCGCTGCTTCTTCCCGCCCTTCTCAGAGTCCTTCAGGTCCCTCCCGCCCCAACTTCGGGGCTCCAGAACTCCCCGGTCCGGCGAGCTAGCTGAGCCGCAGAACGTCCCACCCTGGGACCCCCTTTTATTCTGGGCTCCGGCGCTTCCGCCTCCGGGGCGGAGACTCCTCCCCCTCACTGTCCCAGTTGTGTTCCCTGGAAGAGCAGCTGGGAAAGCGTCCGCCTGCTCCGGCCGGGGCGAGCGAGAAGCCGGCCCCCTCCCGCAGCCCCGCCGCCCCGCCGCCCCGCGGCCGCCCGCGCGCAGGGCCCCTCCGGCGGCGCGGGCGCTCCTTCAGCACCGCGGACAGCGCCCCGCCCGCGGCATGGCCCTGCGCTCCGGCCCCGCGGCGCTGCTGCTGGGCTTCGGCCTCCTCGGGCTGCGCGCCGGTAAGGCCGGGCTCCAAGCTGCAAGGGGGACCCCCAGAGATGGAGGAGCCTGCGGGGGGACGCCTGGGCGGCCGAGCTGGGAGGAGGACATCCCCCAAGGAGTAGGCGATGCAAGGAAGCGAGAGAGATCCGGGCAATGGTGGTGGGGAGAGCGTGGGCACGGGAGGGAGTCTCCCCAGGCCTTCTGGGGTGGCAGGAGGTCACACTCTGCGGCTGAGATGCCATCTGACTTCCCGTGAAACATTATCTCCAGAACTCTACCTGGAAGGGCACCCTCCCTTAGCTCTCCATCATTTTCTGTGCCCCACATTGGGCTCCTGATTCCAGCCACTCCACCCGGGCAAGACAGGAAGGGGAGAGAAGTGACTTCTCAACTCTCTTGTATGGTGGGATGGAAGACTTGGAAGGGAAGGCGCTCTGCCAGGCTGAGGGGTGGGGGTACATTGTGCAGGGCTGCAGGAGAGAGAGTCTGTGGAGGGGCGGGTACAAAGGGATTGTGCAGCTAAATGAGCTTCCCACACCTGCATGCCATCTCATGGGAGGTGGGCTCCCGTATGTGTGGAACTGGGGACTGAATACACGTCTGACACACAGCGCAGGCAGCCCAGCTATCCTCGCCAACCCAGTGCCTTTGAAGGTGGGGGTGGGGTGGGGTCAGGGCCCAAGTCACGTGTGGAGGCGCATAATGTTACTTGTATGCACAGATGGTCCCTGACTGAGGAGAAAGGTGGTGTGGTGGGAAATAAAGAGCTGTTCCCTTTCACCACCATCCAAAACCCTCCTGAACTGCAGGGATCTTTTGGGAGAAGCTGTGAAAACAAGAAATCTCAAGTCTTTTGAAACCATAGTCTGAGACCTTGCAGGAAGAGCGGGTCTCCACTAATCCTTGCAGAATGGGTTTTTAGTCTGGAGACATCTGTGTGAGGCTGTCTGGTTTCCTGGTTGGTGATCTCAGAGAAGGGTTTCTCTATGAGGGGCCCCCGTGGGATAACCGAAGCATTTTGCTGTGTCCTTAGGGATGGAGAGGTGGGAGCTCCTGCTTTGGCCTGGTTGCCCCACTGCCTAGGGAGAGTGGGATGCTAGGTGGGCCCTCCTTGCCTACTTCCTTCCTTCCTGCCTCCCGCCCAGGAGTCTCAGGTACTGACACGGAGGAGCGGCTGGTAGAGCATCTCCTGGATCCTTCCCGGTACAACAAGCTCATTCGTCCAGCCACCAATGGCTCAGAGCTGGTGACAGTACAGCTCATGGTGTCCCTGGCCCAGCTCATTAGTGTGGTGAGTGGGGGCCCAAACTCTCTGCCCAGCTACTCAAGTCAAACAGCCAGAATTACTCCCCTGGATCTCCCCAGGCTTGGGGAGGTATGGGAAGGACCATGGGTGGTTGTAGCGAGCCTGCAGGCTGAGGGGCCTTCTCGGCAGCTTCTCTTCTTCCCTGCAGCACGAGCGGGAGCAGATCATGACCACCAATGTCTGGCTGACCCAGGTTAGTGCTGGATCTGAAACTTGGTGCTTCCACTCACCAGCTCTGTGACTTTGAACATGTTAAACTCTACAAAATTCATTTTCTTATTTGTAAAATGTAGATTCTAATAGCTTAGATGTGCAAATTAAATGAGAAACTATCTTATGAGCCACATTTGCTGGGCAGGGAAGTCACTGTGGGGAGGGGATGCCTTTTCAAAGCCTCCTCAAGCCAGATTGCCTCCCCCCTCCTCCCCCACCTCCCATCCTGTCCTTGACCTTGAGCCTCAGCAAGGGCATGGGCTGGTAAGGTTCCCTCTCTCCCTCTCTCCCTTTCCCAGGAATGGGAGGACTATCGGCTCACCTGGAAGCCCGAGGAGTTTGACAACATGAAGAAAGTTCGGCTCCCTTCCAAACACATCTGGCTCCCAGATGTGGTTCTGTACAACAAGTAGGTGGCCTTGGAGCAACGGGAAGGCTGGAGGAGACCACAGGGTGCTCTGAGAGGGAAGGGCTCTTAGGGAAAGTAAATTAGCTCGCACAGCGGGACAGAAGGGACTTCTTGTTGGCACAGACACCAGCACTATGCAGCAGACAGACCCAGACGACCCCAAGGTGATTTGGGCCATGGCCAGTCCCCTCTCCGCCAAATCGGAGTCCCATTGTTGGGAGCCACAGTGGGATAGAGACAAGGATTGACAGCCCCAGCGCCTATATGGATTCAAGAATAGCCTTTCCTGGAGGATTGTTCAGGATCAAAGAACCTGGAGGCCCCAGGGTCTCCTCTGGGTTCCGTCCCCTTTCCTGCAATAATCCCACTTACCTCCAAGATCCTAAATCACTAGTGGGTGCATCTCCTGCTCCCACCTGCCCCTGTCCCCCTCATTGCTTGGGGCTCCTTACTCTGGCCTCCCTGGCTCCCCCAGCCTCTCCAGCGTCTCCTCTGCATGGGGAGCAACCAGCTTGCACGACAAGTAGCAGGCAGCCCCCGTCATCCACCCTCTTCTGCCTCCAAAAGGCCTCACAGGCCTCCTGACCACCAACTCACCCAGGTCCCCTTCTTGCTCCATTCCTGCCCCACCTCTGCCGACTCCTGGGTGGTTACCCTCAGACCTGGCTCTCCCCTCCTCCCGCTCAGGGCCGAGTTGATGGGGGGTGTGTGTGTGTGCAGGAACGCGTGAGCCGGGGCTGACCGCGCTCCTCCCTCGGCAGTGCTGACGGCATGTACGAGGTGTCCTTCTATTCCAACGCCGTGGTCTCCTACGACGGCAGCATCTTCTGGCTGCCGCCCGCCATCTACAAGAGCGCGTGCAAGATCGAAGTGAAGCACTTCCCGTTCGACCAGCAGAACTGCACCATGAAGTTCCGCTCGTGGACCTACGACCGCACGGAGATCGACCTGGTGCTCAAGAGTGACGTGGCCAGCCTGGACGACTTCACCCCCAGCGGCGAGTGGGACATCGTGGCGCTGCCCGGCCGGCGCAACGAGAACCCGGACGACTCCACGTACGTGGACATCACGTACGACTTCATCATCCGCCGCAAGCCGCTCTTCTACACCATCAACCTCATCATCCCCTGCGTGCTCATCACCTCGCTGGCCATCCTCGTCTTCTACCTGCCGTCCGACTGCGGCGAGAAGATGACCCTCTGCATCTCCGTGCTACTGGCGCTCACCGTCTTTCTGCTGCTCATCTCCAAGATCGTGCCGCCCACCTCCCTGGACGTGCCGCTCGTCGGCAAGTACCTCATGTTCACCATGGTGCTCGTCACCTTCTCCATCGTCACCAGCGTGTGCGTGCTCAACGTGCACCACCGCTCGCCCAGCACGCACACCATGGCGCCCTGGGTCAAGGTCGTCTTCCTGGAGTGGCTGCCCGCGCTGCTCTTCATGCAGCAGCCGCGGCCCCGCTGCGCTCGCCAGGGCCTGCGCCTGCGGCGGCGGCAGCGCGAGCGCGAGGCGGGCGCCCTCCTCTTCCGGGAAGCCCGCGGGGAGGCGCGCTCGGGGCCGGCGCGAGGCGGAGCGGGGGCGGGCGGCTGCGGCCTCCGCGCGGCGGTGGACGGCGTGCGCTTCATCGCGGACCACGTGCGCAGCGAGGACGACGACCAGAGCGTGAGTGGCGCGGCCACGCGAGGCCCACGCGAGTGCGGGGCGCGGCCGCCGTGGCCTCCTGGGGCTCTCCTCGGTGGGCTTCCGGGAGGCGGCGCCGCGGAGGCTGGAGTCGGTGCGCGCGGCGGGGACGCGGGGGGCCTTGGTGGCTTTGCGGCCGGCCGGTGGCCGCGACCCGAGGCCCAGCCCCCGCCGGCCCCCCGAGTCCGAGCTGGTGACTGGTGATCGCAGCTCTCGGCACGAGGGGCTCCGGGTCCCTCGCCCGTCCCGCGGGGGGCGGAATTGGGGGCGGTCGAAGATGGGTGGGGGCAGAGGCCCAAGTCACACCCCTTTTCTGCGCCTTTGGGACGCCTGGGGGAATCGCTTTGGAGGAGGGGCAGGCGGAGGCGGGGGCTTCCCAGAGCAGCGCCCCCGCTGTGCGCGCACCGGCTCTTTCCACCGCGGGCCCCGCCGCGGAGGGGGACCCCGGGAGCCCCGAGCCCGCGCAGGGGCAGAGTGCTACGGGCGGCGGCGGCCAGCGGTCAGCCTGCGGGTACCGGCAGTGGTTGCCATGGTGACCGGCCAGGTTTCCGCTGGGATGCAGCCGTTCCGGTTTGGGGGTGAAGGAGGGCGGCTCCAGCGCCACCGCTCGGGGTGGGGGTGGGCGCTTGAGAGCCTGGCCTTTCCATTCCCCAGGAGGGCAGGACCGCGGGCTGGAGGGGGCTTGGCCAGGGAGCAGGGTACGTGCCTGCTGGGCGGAGGCGGGAGCAGGCCCGGGGAGACGCGGCCCGGCCGCGCCCCGCCCGCGCCGCCCCTGCCGCAGTCCGCTCGGTGCTCGGTGCCGTGGCCTACTTGGACGCCGCGCCGGCATCTCAGACCTCACACGTCCAAGCCCCAGTGCTCCATCTGAGCCCCACCACCGGCTTGCTTCTCCTGCAGTCTCCCCATCTGACAGTAAACGGCATCACCGTGCACCCAGAGGTTCAGACCCAAAACCTGGAGTGATTCTTGACTCTTCTCTCTCTCACCTCCCCCACCATCCAAGTCAGCGGAAGTCCTGCCCTGTGAGCACAATCTCCAAAGTCCTCTCAGCTATCTCTTTCCTCCTCACCTCTCCAGGGTCCTCCCGGGACGGTAGGCCTCCCCTAGCCCTTCCCGGACCGGGGCAGGGTCTCCTGGGAGTCTCCCCGAGTCAGCTCTGTTCTCCTTCCTCCAACATGCGATGTCTCCTTCTCACCTTGTGCCTTCTCCTCCCTGGCTCAGGTCACTGGCCCACTAGTCTAAGCAAGCAAAGCTCTGTCTTACCTCAGGATGTTTGCACCCATTGGTCTCTCTGCCTGGAATGCCCTTCTTTTTTTTCCTTTAAAAAAGTATTACTGGGGCTCCTGGGTGGCTCAGTCCGTTAAGCATCCGACTCTTGATTTCGGCTCAGGTCATGATCTCAGGGTTGTGGGATTGAGCCCCCAACCCGGCTCTGCCCTCAGTGGGGAGTCTGCTTGGGATTCTTTCCCTCCCCGACTTCCCCCACCGCCCACACACTCTCTCTCTCTCAAATAAATTTTTTTAAAAAGTATTATTACTATTAATGTTCGCTCTCCTGTTTGAGAGTAGGTTGCAGTCATTGTGACCCTTTATCGCGAATACTTTAGTGTGTCTTGTCCTGAGAATAGAGATGTTGTCTTGCATAACCAGGATCAGTGACCAAATTCAGGAAATTCAACATCCATATAATATCTTTAACTGATATAAAATCCATATTAAAAGTTTTCCGGGGGTGCCTGTGTGGCTCAGATGGTTAAGCTTCTCCTGGTCCTGGGATTGAGCCCCATGTTGGTCTCCTGCCTTGGTGGGGAGCCTGCTTCTCCCTCTCCCTCTGCCTCTCCTCCCTGCTCATGCTCTCCCTTTCTCTCTCAGATGAGTAAATAAAGCCTTAAAAGAAAAGTTTTCCAACTTTTGGGGCACCTGGGTGGTGCAGTCCGTTAAGCATCCGACTCCTGGTTTTGGCTCAGGTCATGATCCTCAAGGTCATGAGATGGAGCCCTGCATCTGGCTCTGTATCAGCTTGGAGTCGAATTGAGATTCTCTCTCTCTCCCTCTGCCCCCCACCACTGCCATGTGCACCTGCTTGCTCTCTCTCAAACAAATAAATAAAGCTTAAAAAAAAAAAAGTTTTCCAGCTTTCTCAGTAATGCCCTTTGCAGCGCTCCCCACCCTGATCCAGGATCTCAGATTGCACTCAGTTGTCCTACCTTTTTCTTTTCCTTTGATCTGGAACAGTTTCTCAGCTCTGTTTTTCATAGCGTCAACATTTTGACGGGTGTGGGCTGGCCCTCGGTTCGGGTTTGTCTGATTGCTTCTTCACGTTGTTCCAGCCACAGCTGGCTCCTTCTTACATTCCAACGTGACCTTCAGTGTCCCTTCCTCGGAGAGGCCATCCCAGACCACACCCTCCAGTGTGTCTTCCCCTCCGTAGCTCTCTCTCAGTTCTCTGTTTCCTTATCAGCACCCACCAGCGTGTAATTACTTTAGTCTTGCTTATTTGTGCCCCTTTCCCTCCGTGGACAGTGAGCCACAGCCAGCATTTGTCTGGCTCTTGGCCACACCCCCGTGCCTGGCACGGAGCCAGGCCCATAGCCGGTGCGAGCAAGCTGTTGCTCAGCAGCCGACCAAATGAAGGCGCACAGCGGTCTCCTTCCTGGGCCCCCAAATGAATGTGTGCAAAGGCCCTGACTCAGGCTCAAGGGGGGCCGGCCCCGTGACAGCTGTCAGACCCAGACGGTATCCTCTTTCCGATGGATTGGTTGCGTCTGGGACCAGTGCTCACCCTCTGGGGCCTGCATGCTGGAGCTGCTGCTGTTGGATGGGCTGCCCCAGACAGTCACGGCTGGACGGGGGCCTGTGGAGCCAGCCATTCACTCGATAACGGCACTCTTTTGCACAGGCTGGGACTGCAAAACGAATCAGCCAGGGTCCCTGTCATTTAGGAACTCGTAGCTGGCCGGGGGCGGGGTAGGATGGCAGACACGCAAATTGAAATGGCAATACAGTGCAGTAAAAACACTGTGATCAAGATGTGTCCACCTGCTGAGGGAGTCCGGAGAGGACAGTGGTTCATTCTGATCAGGAGTATCAGAAAAGATCACTTCAGAGAAGAGGTAACATTTGGTTTGGGCTTTAGAGGATGTGTAGGAGTTCACCAGGCAGAGAAAGGGAAGACCAGAATTCTAGACAGAAAGGAAACTCAAAGGCACAGAGACTTGAGAGCGCTCATGGGGCTTTGGTAAGTCTGGGTCAGAGGGAGGAAGAGGATGGTAAGTAGGTAGGTGCGTATTTGTCACGGGTGGGTCTTCAATCCAAACTTGGGAGTTTGGATGGGCCCTGAAGGTGGTGGGGCCGCTGGAGGCTTTTAAGCAGGCAAGTTGGGAGCCACACTTTGGAAAAGTCACTGTGGGGTCGTGGAGGGAGAGGAGGGGGGTGCGTGTGTACAGGCGTGTGTGTGTGTGTGTGTGTGTGTGTGTGTGTGTGTGGTGAGACCGGCCTGTTCCCATTTCACTCCTGTCCTGCATCATGTGACTGATACCCCGGCCTCCTTTGTCTCCTCTGTCCAGGTGAGTGAGGACTGGAAGTACGTTGCCATGGTGATCGACCGCCTGTTCCTCTGGATCTTTGTCTTCGTTTGTGTTTTCGGCACCATTGGCATGTTCCTGCAGCCTCTCTTCCAGAACTACTCCACTGCTCCCTTTCTGCACGCAGACCACTCAGCACCCAGCTCCAAGTGAGGCCCTCCCGGCTCCGCGCCGCTCCACCCCTTGCCCTCTGTACACAGTCATTTTGGGGGGAGGAGGGACAAGTGAGCTACGGGGCGGGGGGGGGGGGGGGGGGAGGCGCTGCCACAGACCCAGCCTCTCCTCTCCGCCCCCCCCAGCCCCTCCCAGTCCCGCTGGTGAATGACAGCGCGCCCTGGAGGCTGGAGGCTGGACCCGCTGCCGTCCTGTCTTCTCACCGCAGCCGGGCGGGAGTGCTGCTGGTCGGGCATGAAGGCTGAGAGATAGGGCATGGAGATTGGGCCTTCCCCTCTGAGGGAAGTGTGATGGGGAAGGGGCCAGGTCGGGGCAGAGTCCCAGGGCCCCTGCCTAGGTACCCGGCTTCTGGGCTGGCAGGTCTGCCCAGGGGCTTACCTGGCGCTGTGGTCAGACCCCTGGGGGCCCTCCAGCCCAGCCCCGCAGCCCCTTGCTTCTAGGGGCTCCAGGGCCCAGCCCCAGGTCCCTGCACCCCTGGACTTCCCCCCACTTTCCTTCTTGCTCGGGCCGGGTGGGGCGGGCCAGGCTGGGCATCGAACCCCTGCGTTGGGAGCCTTCCTTGGCTGCTTGGAACCACGTCCTCCAACTGTGCACAAAATGCAAGCTCTTCAGCGGTCTCCCCACTTGAACTGACCGGTGTTTGGAGTCAGGAAAGTGAAGCTGTTAGCTCTGAGCAGACCCAGCCTTTCTGCACGCAGCAGAGGGGGCTGGGCAGGAGAGAGTCAGCACTGGCCTGGCCGCACCCCACAAGCAGACCTGAGCGGGGCGGAGGCAGAACCTCATTGCCGTCATCAGCTCCTCAGAAAGCACGGCCTTTGCCTCTGTCCTGTGGGCCTTGTGGAGGCTGTATCCTGACCCTGCTCCCAGGGACCAGCTGGGGGCCACCTGGCCTCTTAGCCCAGGAAACAGACCTCTGATGGACCTCCTGCCCCAACCCCTGCCATGTGACTGGCTCTGATTTGTGGTCCTGGCCTGTCCTCAGTGCCAATGGGGGCCGGTCACAGACCGGTCAGGCTGCCCAGCGCGGCCGAAAGGCCGGCTGACACAGACCATGCCGTCCTCGGGGGCCCAGCTGGACCCCTGCTTCTGCAGTGCTCACGGGTTGGGGGAGACGCACCGCGTTGGCCACGGGACCAGACGGTCTCAGTCTGGATTCCGGTCCTGGCTCATACCTGCTCGCTCAGCCACAGGGAGCAAGTCCCTTTGCCTTTCTGGGCCTCAGTGACCTCATCTCTCGAATGGGGACGGTAGCGAGGAGGAAGCAGCCCAGTCTGTACTTGGCGAAGACTTGGTGTGTGTGCAGGCCAGGAGCTGGGCAGAGCTGGGGGCGGTGGGCTCACCTGACTGTCCTGACAGCCTTCCTCGCACACCCCTCCTCTCCCTCTCTCTTCCTTGAGCAAACAGAGTCCCCTGAAGCAGGGTGGGAGTCTGGGGAGCCGGGGACTGGAGGAGTGCAGTCGAGGGGAACTTTCCAGGGGCCGCTCGGTGGGTCTGATGGCTGTTGCTCTCTGGAGTGCCCTCAGCAAAGCATCGTTCCGTTCCTGGGCTGAGCTCCTTCCGACGCAGGTGTGTGCTCAGGGCCTCTGGGTGGACCTCGTCCTGTCCTGGCTGTGGACACCCAGGTGGCCACTGGGCAAGATGTGCCTTGGCGTGTTTCCCGGCCTGCCGGAGCGGGCCCGTGACCTCCCTTCTGAGTGGGTGGCTTGGCCCTGCGGAGACGCCCTGTCCTAGAGCAGCAAATTAAGAGTTGCCTGTATCATGCCTGGACCTGCTGCGGATCCCTAGCCCTGGGGAAGCCTCCAGGAGCCCGAAGAGCAACTGGAAAGGAGCCCTCCCTCTGCAGGGTGGGGTGCCAGCCCGCGGCCCTCGCTTCTGGCTCTCCCGGGCTCCTCACTGTGGCCTGGGCCACATGGCTGGGCCTGCCCTTGCTTGGAGTACTCCTTCCAAGGGGCTGTTGTCCAAGTAAGTCACCAAAAATGCTAGAGGGCTTTTAGGCCTGGAGATTGCTGCCTGAATGGGGACAGGCATCGTCCCTTCTTTTACCTTGGTGTTGTCAGGGGAGCTCCCTGCCCCTTCCATGGGGGGCGTCTCTGGAGAGCGTCAGGTGCCCCGTTCAGTGCCCCCAGTCTGGAGAGGGCGGTGCAGACACTGGGCCGACGCCTGAGCAAGGTGGGCTTGGGAGGGGCTGCTGAGGAAGCAGGCGGGATTGTCTCCATCTGCAGGGCACCCTGCCCGACGAGCGGGCCTGCCCACTCTGCTTTTGACGGTTGGCGCTGCAGGAGGAAAGCCCTTCTTGGTGGCGCGGCGTCTGATACTGCAACAGCTGGACTGAGTCACCAAAAACTTGAAAGCAAACAAGACAAGGCAGCCTCCCAGCTGGCCTTCCCTGCAGAGGAAGGCTGTGCGTGCAGGAAGGGTGAGGGGCGGGGAGTGCTCTGGGCAGGATCTGGGGGCACGACTCCTACTCCTCCCAGCCCCAGGCCTTTGTTCTGCAGGGAAGGGGCCATCCACTCGCTTGACTCAGCTGAGCCGTCGCACGGCTGGGCCTCGAGGCGGCCTCGGGGAAAGCAAGGGGCCTCTCTGATTCGCTCCCTGGCCAGAGTGCACTCGGCGCCAGCTCTCAGCCTCTTCGTCCGGTCCCTCAGCCCAGCAGGTGCCGGCTGTCAGCCATCCAGGCCGGAGTGAGAATTGGCAGCGTGTTTCCATGTTTGTCCCAACAGGCCCGTGGGCCCAGCCTGAGTGTCACATGGCTCCTGAGGGACTGTAGGTCTAGGAGTTGTAGCTAAGATGCCTCACCCACCCACCCTCAGAGCACCGCCCCCCCCTCGGCCTTGGCCTCCCTTGTCTGTGCTTCTGGAATATTTGCACTGGTCTAGCCCGCTCCAGGCCAGACTCCTTAGGAACTCAAGATTCTTGTAAAGAAAGTTGTTTCCAAACATGTCTTGTCTCTGTGCTCTATTTGGGGGCCAGGGTCGGCAAATTTGGGAAACTGGGGGTGATGCTGGAGAAATTGGACCCATGAGCCATGAAAGACAGTACAAGACTCTGAAGGTGAGCACTAACTTTAATTTCTGTAATCGATGCCTGACAAGGGCACTCGTCAGATGGAAAAGAAATGGATAGCTCCTGGGGGGCGCTCGTAGAGAAGGGCCCTGGAGGCAGGGTCGGCGGGAGTCTCTGCACAGCTGGCGTGCGCGGGGAGGTCAAGGCTGTGGTCTGTGCGAAGGCCACACCTGTCCCCAGAACCCTGGTTTGCTTCGGGCCCAAACCTGGCAGGTGCTCCGTTGTGGCCCCTGAACGGGACCAGACATAAGGAGCTGACGAACACTCCATGCTCCCAAGGGCAGCCCTGCGACCCAGCCCCTCGGAGTGGGCGGTGCGGACGGGCTCGTTCCCTCCGCACATGGGTCTGGCGCTCATTCGGTGTGAAGGAAGGAAACTGTCTGCGTCCTTAAGACTTGGATACGTTTCTCTCCAGCGACGGAGGCGTGGGGGAGGGATCTGTCCCCTCCCCCCCCCGTCCGCCACCCCCCCCCATCCGTCCCCGCAGGGGCGACATCTCCTTCCCCATCTTCAGAAGCCTTGGATCTCGGCGGACCACGAATGACACCCACACACGGCTGTGGTCCTTAATGTGCCCCCAAACTCATCACTGGCCCTCCTGGCCTCAGCTGTCCATTGGTCGCAGACGGGGAAGGAGGCTTCGCGGTGACTCTGTCCTTAAGCCGGGGACGGATGTGGTAGAGACTCTGGCCTGAATCGCAACGCGGGAAGAGGCGCATTCTGTGAGTCACGCGAAATACTGCAGTGCGTCCCGAGACCGCAGCCCAGCCAGGCCCGCCGGGAGCCGGGAGCACTTCCTAGCAGGCGGAGCACCTGGGCCGAGGGCGCGGCTGGGGGCGGGGGGCGGGGGCTGCGCGAGGGGCGCCTGCGCGTTGGGCCGAGGTCTCCGAGGACAAGGTGGACAAGGTGCGAGGACAAGGCGCGGAACCGTGGGCTCTGCTGGGGCGCCAGGGGTGCGCAGCCCGCGGCAGGTGAGAAACCGCAGGGCCGCGGCCCCCTCTGCGCCCACGCTCCCTCCCCCGGAAGCCAAGACTGGAGACTCTCCAACAATTCAGATTCTCTTTATTTATGAGGAATGTATATTGTTAGTCACGGTTATCGAGGGACACATCAAAGCGGAATCGTAGGCTGGAGTGCAGCCGCGGTGGCGCCAGGTCTGTGTTTGGGTTCTCCCCATCCGCTCTCGGGGTCGCACCAGGACCCAAACCAACAGTCGCTCAACGTGAGTAAAGGAAATAGCTTCGAGCAGCGACAATTTTCATAAGTGATTATTCAGAGGATGCACAATAGCCACAGTTCAGACAAATCAACTACAAAGATCATTTAAAAAAAGGAAGAAGGGCGTCCTGGTTACTAAAAACAAAGATTGGACAAGAAAGTAGAGCACTGTGGGAGGGAGCTCTGACCCTCCATTCCTGGGGGGCACAGCCGGGCCCCTTCCTATAGCAGGAGCCGGTGCGTCTCATCTGACCTTGGGGCGAGCGTGGATCTGCTGCTTTGAGGGCCCCTGGGCTCCCGGTCGCGGCTCTGCTGGAGATTCTAACGCCCAAGATGGAGCAGAGGGTCTGAACGCTCCATGGGGTCAGCAGGTGAGACCTTCTGGCTGCCTCCCGGGAGGCTGGCCCCACACGCCTCTGGCAGGTGCGCTCGATGGGGCCGGGCCCCTTCACCCCAGAAGACAGGCACTGTGTCCCGACCGGCTCCGTGGGACAACCGGCTATTCCACAAAGACGTCTTGAGTATACTTAAAAAAACTTGTTTTTTTTTTTAAATTTTGGTCAATTTTTGGTCAAAAGCACAGAGGAACAGTAGCCACCAGAACCAAAGTGTGAGTGTGAGTGTATCTACTGCAGAAGAGGGGTCCAGACAGGGCTGCCTCGGCAGTACGGCGGGGGGCACGAGGGAAAGGGGACAAGCATCTGAGGGCCTGGCCTGGAGCGCCGGCGGGCAGAGACAGAGGCGTCACCTGGGGCGGGCTCAGGTCTGGCTGGTGCAGGCGCAGAGCCGGGCTCCAGAGAGGCTAGCCTGAGGTGTAGACAGGGGACCCACCTCACTCGATTCCAACTGTTGTCGGGCATCCGGCCTGCCAAGACTCCCTGACAGGCCTGAGGCCTGCCCTTCTGAAACTCCCCGGCAGACAAAAGCACTTGGATAAATGAAAAATTAGGTCTGATTTTAAAATCTTTGTAAGTACAGGTGCTCTGTAGCAGTTAAGAATCAACATTATGACATTTTTAAAAACTCCTAAGGTACCATGACTTGGTCAGCTTTCCCTGGTGTCATGGTCATGAGAAAGATACCGCGCGGTGCCGTGATCTGACCCAACATGATTGTTCTGCCCTTCCTCTCAGTCCTGATTATCTGAACAGAGAGGACTTGTGGTGCAGGACCTCTCCCACCCGGGCCTTGGGGTCTGTGGCCCTCTGCGCCCCGCGGGCAGGACAAATCCCCAGGAATGCTTCCAGAGGACAGCGGGTGTGCAGTACTGCGAGGCTGGTCTGCACGTGGGGGCGGTCGGTGTCACCCCCCCCGGGGTTTCACTCCTGTGGGCGTGAGCCCTAGGCCAGCCCTCTCCGCCGCCCAGCTGCCCGCCCTCCCCCCCTTGCTGGCTAAAGTGCAAGACCCGAAGGTCACCGAGCGCCACCTGCGGATGCCCACGGTTCAGTGATGAACTGACCGCACTTGTAAACTCCTGTCTTCATACCTGTTTCACCGAATTCTCGAAGTTCACCTCTTACCCTCTTGGAGGAAAAGGAGAAACTTAACGATCATAAGGAGGGAATCGCCAACGGGCAGAGGGAGACAGAGGGGCCTGCAGACTCTGCCAACGAAACCTCCAGCCCTGACAGGACTCAGCGCGGATCGGCCCGACCCAGACGGCGAGAGGCTGGTGTGGCAAACACGAGGAGAGCACGTGGAAACCAAAGTGGGGCTGAGTGGGAGGGGCCTGCATGGTGGGCAGGAGGGGCCGACGTGGCCCCCTCCCGGTGCAGAGGGCAGGGGTGGGCGGGCGGGCCTGGCCCCTGGCAGACGCAGGGCACACAGGAACCCACTGCTCTCAGTGTCACCAACGCGCTTCCACCAAATAAAGAAAAGGGAAAGGAAAGGAACACCCGCAGACTGACGTGACGAGGAAAGCCGCGGCCCCGTGTCGCCCCCCAGGCCCTGGCCCCTCACACGGGGCAGAGGTAGAAGTTCTTCTCCTCCTGAGGCTTGCTGATCCAGTTCCCATAACCCATGTCCCTCAGGCTTTTCTTGAAGTAGTTCTTGGCTATCTCGTACTCTCGGGCAGCTTTCTTGGCCTCACCGTACGAGAGTCGAAGCAGATCCCTGCGGTACCGGAAGGAGCAGAGCTTCTTAAACAGGAGAAAAATGTTCTTTTTGGAGACCCGGGACAATTCGTTCCGCGGCCTGGAGGAACAAAGGCGCTTGTCACTCCCCAGGAACAGAGAAGGAGGGGAGCCCGGGCGGGGGTGCGTGGGGCGGGGTGGGGGTCGCCAGGGAGCGGCTCCTCGGCAGGGCTGGGGGTGCAGTGGGGGTTGCTGGGGAGCCTGAGCAGGGGGCACGCGGGGTGAGGTGGGGGTCGCCGGGGAGCCCGGGTGGGGCTGGGGGTGCAGTGGGGGTCGCCGGGGAGCCTGGGCGGGGGGCATGTGGGGTGGGGGTCACCAGGGAGCCCGCGCGGGGTGCAGGGGGCGTCGCAGGTGAGCCGGCGCCTCACCCATCCACAGCGCCCCTGGTCCCGTCCAGGATCTCCAGGTCATAGCCGTCCGCCAGGCACCAGTTGACGCTTGTCTCCTTTGTCTTCCCCGACTGCCTCTTGGAGTCGTACACGCTGACTCGGCCCACCTAGAGGTCCCGGGAGTGACAGGGGAAAGATGGAGACCTTCCGGAAGGCCCTGGGACCCCCGGGGGAGAGGGGGCAGCTCACGATCTTTGCCCGCAGCTAGAATTCTGTGGGGCGAGGACTCCGGTCATACTAACCCCAGCTCGATTCAAACGGGGCCCAGACTAAGAAGAAAGCCCTTGGCGTCCGCAAGGACAAAAGGACCAGGTCCCGGGACACCGCAGAGGCCCCTCCCCTGCCCACAGCCGGCGACGGAACGACCGTCAGGGGAAAGTGGAGGGGGCCACAGCACCTTGGGGTGGTTGACGATGAAGGGGGGCCGCAGTCCATCCTCGAAGGCACTCCCATCTCTTGTCACACGGCAGCAGATGGCACGAGTCAGATGCCCTTGGCTGAAGAGGTAACCTGTGCAGGAAATGGAGGTGTGCATCTGTGTCTGTCTTCGGTGCTGCCGCGAGGCGGAGGCGTCTGGGGGGGACGTGGAGGTGCGGGGGGTGGGACCGAGGCAGCAGCCCCGCGGATGGTGGGTGTGCAGGGCACATGGCCCCAGAGCCACAGGCACATCACTTCGGGCTTGGGGGTGGGGGAGGGGTGCTGCCTGACCAGGAAGCCCAGACCCCGCCGCTGGAAGCCATGGTCTTCCTGGGACCTGTGGTGAGAAGACGTGCCTCCCGCCCAGCAGGTGGGCAGCGAGGCGTGTGGGGGTGGAGGGGCCCTTACCCAGCGTCACAGACTTGAGGTACACAGGCTGCAGGAAGTGTGTCAACAGTGCGCCCTGCAAGCCGAGCACGTTCCAGCGCAGGATCTTGTCGCTGCAGGACATGGTGCGGAGTCTCTCCCCGAGCCGAATGCCGTCCCACGTGGGCACAATGTCACTGGACTCCACTGGGATTGTGCCTTCCCCTGCGGAGGGACTTGGGTCAGAGCCACAGGGCCCCCAGACCAGGCCACTCCCGGCGTGGTCTTCGCACTCCTCACACTGGGCCAAGGCTGCGCACAGTTCTTCTTCACAGGTCGCACAGCACCTACTATGTGTGGGCCCTCTACTCGGTGCTGGAACAACGGCAAGCAAACCGGAAGATCCCTGTGCTCCTGGAACGTCCGTGGGCGTGAGGGGGCAGCAAGGGACAGACCGCCAGTGAGCAAGCAAAGGCATACGGACACAAGAACTCCGAATGGCAACGGGGCTCGAAGCCGGGGGGACGGATGGCGGCAGATGGCGGGGGGCCTCCAGGGACGGAACTGCCAGGGTAGCAAAGACACCAAGGAGAAGCAACAGCTGAGTAAGAGAGTTTCAGGCACGGAGAACACGAGCGAGGGCCCTGCGCCACGTGCGCGTGTGAAGTGCGGTGGGAAACTGCCACAGGGCCCTGTTCCGTTGTTTTCAGTAACAGCTTTAGTGAGATATAATTCACCCATTTAAAGCGCACAGTTCAGTGCTTTTTAGTATATTCGTAGGATGAGCAACCCTCCCCACAGTCAAGTTTAGAACCTTTCATCGCCCTCAAAAGAAGCGTCCCCGCGTCTGCCAGCCCTCCCAGCCTAGGCCCCCGGCAGCCACGAACCCACTCTCTGTCTCTACAGGGCTGCCAGCATCACATTCCCGACGTTTCGTATAAACGGAGCCACGGAACGCAGGACCTTTAGGGACTGGCTGCTTTCTCGGGGCTCATCTACACCCCTTTTATGGCTGAGTCCGACTGCACCATGTGGACAGACCCCATCTGGTTCACTCGCCAGTGGGCACACCCTGGGGGGGTCCCCACTTCTCCGCTGTTACGAACAAGCGTGCGCTAGTCTCTGTTCTCTTGGGGACGTGCCCCGGAGCGAGCTGCTGGGTCCTGGGCAGCTCTGTGGGTTTTAAGCAGGGAGGTGACTTGGCCTGAGGGCAGGGGGGTGGGTGTGAGGAGACCCCCCCCCAAAAGGGCCCTGGACGAGGAGGAGCCAGCAGATGGGAGGGAGCCGTGCACTTGGTGCCCATGTCTGTCACTCCTTGCGACTTGGTCCCACATCCCTTCTGCTCCCCACAACCCCAAGTGGTCCCACCCGCCCCCTGGCCACAAAGATCAATGATGGGAAACTGGCTTCCACACTTCTGTTTCTAGCCAGGCTCTCTGCCCTGAGCTCTGGGCAGGTACCTCTGCCTCCTAGCTGACTTGCAGATCTCCCCGACTACCAGGTGCCAAGGGGAATCTTGGTCTTCCTACACCCCATCCCTGTCCCCGGGTCACCCCTCCCAGCAGCGAACAGCAGAAACCTGATGGGCCCGGGGCTCTGCAGAGCCTTCCCATGGGCAAGACGGATGGCGCGTGTCACTCACCATTCTCCACCTTGGTGCGCAGCTTGCCTTGTTTGGGGTTCTCAAAGACGGGGTAGTGGCGGGAATCTGAGCTCTCCACGGCACGGTCACTGCAGGACTTGTCAAAGAGGGCGCCATCCCCACACGGGGCCGTGCTGCAGAGTGGGGCAACGTGAAAGCTCTCACCCATGCACGGGGCCCCCCCTTCCCTGGGCTCGAGAACAGCCAGACGAGCTGGAGGCAAGGGGCTCTCCCTGCAGCCTCCCGCGGGCTGCTGAGCTGGGTGTGGCCCACGGAACGGCTCTGACCGGTGGGCCCGACAGCCCTCGGATACCCAACCCTGGAGCCTGGCAGCAGAGACTAGACAGACCTGATGTACAGATGGAACGACACGGTCTTCTTGATTTGGAGCTTCTCTCCTCCCTTCGCAGGCTCAAATATGCTCTCCTTCGCGGTCTGGGGGTTGTATTTCATGAGCTCGCTGTAGAGGAACCTACAAGGGCAACTCTGGCTAGTGCCACGGCGGCTTCTGTGACCCGGCCCCAAGGAGGGAAAAGCCCTAGACACGCAGGCTTCCGCGGTTTCTTATGCGGAAGAGGTGGGGGACCCTCCACCGGAGGCCTCGACACCTCGGGAAGCCAGCCAGCCTCTCAGATCAGTTTCGTTTCTACCCCCTGACCTGATGAAGACCAGTGAGCTGGAGGGCAGAGCGGGGGCCAGCAGGGGGCTTCCTCGGTCCTCAGATGCACATGAAAGGGTTCTGCTCCCCTACAACCCTGAGGACCAAGAGGTCCTGGCGTGTTTTTGAGAAAGTTGGAGGGAAGAGGGCCGACTGCGGACAGCAGGCTCTGCGGCCTGAGTCCCGGAGGGGTCAGGCGTGTGACAGGCTCACGGGGCCCCCACGCTCCCCCACCTGATGAAGCCTCTCCGTGAGATGATCTCTGCGTGGCAGTCGTTGACCGTCTCCCCCTTCAGGCTGAGGGAGTCCCCCTTCACACAGCGGTTCCCTGGAAGGTGTTGAAAACAAATGTGATCTTTCCCAGGGAAGTGATGACGAACAGGATAGAGGCTGTTTGGCTTTTTCTTTTTTTTTTTTTGAGAGAAAGGGAGTGTGAGTAGGGGAGGGGCAGGGGGAGGGACCAGCAGACTCCCCGCTGAGCGCGGAGCCCGATCCCAGGATCCCAGATCTCAGGGGCTGGATCCCACCACCCAGAGATCGGGACCCTGAGATCACGACCTGAGCCCAGGCGCCCCACAGAGGTGGGTCGTGAGGGGCCAAGGACGGGGCTAGCCTCAAGCACCGCCCCTGCCTCCCGCGCCCCTTCCCCGTCCACGCACGCGGATGGCGGCCACGCGAGCCGCAGAAGAGCCTGGGCTCCGGCCTCAGACGCGCCCATGCAGCCCGCAGGAGGGCCTCACTGACCTGTCCCCAGGCTGACCACCACCCCCAGGTCGTCGGAGGCCTTCTTCATGACGACGGCGGCCAGGATCTTGCGGCCGAGCAGGGAGGGCTGGAAGCTGTTGGTGAGCGCGTTGAAGCAACGGTGGCTCAGCATGGCGATCTGGTCGTGGAAGGTGCTGCCGGTGAGGGGGAGCTGTGGGCACAAGGCTGCGTCAGGGCCGCCGTGCGGGGCCAGCCGGGCCGAGCGCCCTCGGCTGAGCCGCCTTTCCCTCTCGCACGCGCTGGCCTGGCTCTGCGCGTCACTGAGGGACCAGCGAAAGCCCGGGACTGCGTCACAGGACAGCAAGTTAAGAGCCAGCTCCACCCAAAGAGGAGTCAGCAGGACCCCACAAAGAGATAGCACCAAAAGTAGACGTCTTAACTGTCTTTGGCTGTGCTTCTGGGGACCTTGAGAGGAGGAGCATAGTTCTTCTGAGACCGGCCCCTGTCACTGGGGTTACCTCTGTGAAACCCATGCGCTCTGCCTTCTCGTTCTCCCCAATCAAGACGCGGAGGGCCGCATCTGCCGCTTCCTGCTTGCCTTGCTTCTTGCTGTGTGCGCAGACGGCTGGGAACCAGCGACCCCCGACTTTTGCCTGGTAAACGAACCTTTGGGATGAGAAGTAGGGGATAAAGACAAGCGCCCGACTGGACACAGCTGTTTCTCAGGCAGCATTTCCCAGACTCGGGCACCAGGGACTCGCCCCAAGACTTCTGCTAGACAGATACCCCTTGTCTGCTGCCTCCTGCACACTCTTCTCTAACCTGACTCTGCTCAAATGTAAACACACTTAGAGGGACACCTCGTGTGAACACTAGGAGTCCCTTGCCATAAATCGAAGGGGGGCCCAGAACCGAGTGACACCACAGTGTCATTGAATGCCGACGAGGCACCACGGTCTGCAGAGGCTCCAGGCCTGCATCGTGAAGGAAGTTCAGCAAGGACTGGATGGGGTTTAGAGAAATAGCCAAATGCAGACTTTTCTTCGTAACTCAAGCAGAACTGAGAGGGACATGCTCTCCCAACTCGAATCGCTACCGTTTAACGCTCTAAGGCTAAAGTGCTGGATTCTGTTTGCTCATTCACTTCCCGAGTGGCCCAGACACACTCTGGAGTGGTCTGCTGTAGACAAGGGACCTAAGCTTTCATGAGCAGTTATTTTTGATTCCTGGAAGCCTTGGGATGGCCATGGTGGGGGGAGGGGAGTGCATCTTGGGCACATGAGCTGCGCAGGGAGTGGGAGGGAGGGCAGCCCAGGACACAGAGGGGAGAACGTGATGGGGCATCCACCAGCCAAGGTTTCAAGAATCCTAGCTTCCAATCACATACATCCTAAACTGCTGGTGGGGGAAGCCAGCTCTGGATAATCCACCTGCAGATAAGGCTTCGTTACCGAGATTCATCGGCTCAGGCAGTAAAAGGAATCAATCTGTATGTTCAACCACACGGAGCTTCCCACGACTCCTTGCTTATCCTCAGCAGCGGCATGCCTACGTGCCTCCCTGTGCCAGCAGGTGTGTGGGCGGGTGGGCTAACGGAAGGTCCGTGAAGGAGGGGGATGTGGCGTGAAAGATGCTGGAAAGCAGTGGGGGCCAAACCGGGCCGGACCTTTGCCTGAGACTTAGGACAATCTCATGCCTGTTCCATGTGTTTGAAAAGAATATGAATTCTATACAAAGATACACACACACACAAATACACATGCAGGCTCACCTCAGAGACGTGGTGGGCTCAGTCCCAGACCACCGCAATAAAGCCAATATTGCAATAAAGCGGGATAAAATAAATTTTCTGGTTTTCCAGTGCACACGAAAGTTAGGTTTACACTGTACTGAGTCTCTCAGGTGCACAACAGCATTAGGGCTAAAAACAACATACACACCTTAATTAAAAAGTACTTTATTGCTAAAAAAAATGCTAACCATCATTTGAGCTTTCAGCGAGTTGTCATCACAGATCCCTAAACGTAATAACGGAAAATTTTAGATGTTGCGAGAATCACTGAAATGAGACCCAGAGACACAGAGTGAGCAAATGCTGTTGGGCAAGTGGCCCGACGCAGGTTTGCCTGTAAAAGGCCACAACAAGCAAAGCACGGTGGGAGGAGGCGTGGCCGCGAGCGTGGCCGTATCTGGTGCACGCTGTGGGTATCTGGTGCACGCTGTGGGTCGTGTGCTGGGACCCCCGAGGCTGCACTGGGCTCTAGGGCACCCGCCAGCCGCGCTCCCTTGCTCGGTAACCGTAGGAGGCCCGCGGTCGCCTTTCCCTGGACTGCTGGGGACAGTGCGTTAGGGAAGCAAAGACACTGAAGATGAGGAGGAGGTGAGGTGGCGAGGGGCGCAGGGCGGCGAGGGGGCGCCTGCAGGGTGCTCCACACTGCTGTGGAGCCTGCTGACTGGCTGCCGCTTGCAGGGGTGAAGGAGGGAGGTGGTGCGTGGAAGGGGGTCAAGGGCACGGGGCGGGGGGGCACAGCAAAGCAGATGCAGACCCGCGGGTTTGGCAACGGACGATAAGGCATCTGTCATATCGTTGTTGCTTTTCTCAATTAAGCGCGATGGAAGATCATGGGCTTCGAGTAAGGAAGGGGGTTTTGGTGGGAGTCTACATAAAGAGGGCAGGGTCTAAAACGGCTTAGAGTGGGAAAGAGAATTTAGTACAAAAACATAGTGAACATGCTGGGGAGGAGGGCCACGGGCGGCGGGAGCAAGAGAGAGGCCCTGGCAGGGCTTTCACTGGCTCTGCTCCCTCCCACCGCAGGCCTTCCCCAGAACCGCCGCTTTCTCTTGACCTTCCCCAGGCCGCCGCGCCTTACAAAGTCTTACAAAGTCAGGCCACGCCAAGCAGATTCTCAACCCACCATGCACCTCGAGCTCTTTATAACATGCACGAGATAGGAGACCTTACGTCTCCCCATGTGATTAGTGGTTCAAATCTGGCTCCTGTCCAAACAAACGGAATGGAGTCCAGAAACCGTCTCTCAATGAATCAACAAAGGAGGGCGAGCGGTTTAGAGGAGAGAAGAGGCTCGGCTGCCAGAGGCAGGAGGGGAGGGGCTGGAGAGCTGCGTCTAAGACACAGAGCCGAGGCCGGTCTACCTGAAGGAGGTGACGGGGTGGACGGTGAGGTCACCTCCGGACATGGGAAGGACCGGGGAAAAGAGCGTAAGGGGCGGAACCCAAGAGCTCTCCTTGGGGCAGGTCAGACTCGGCAGGCCCAGTCGAGCGGCAGCAGCTGTGTCCCCGAGACACTGACAGTGGTGCCATCAGGCAAGGTTGCCCAGAGGGGCCGAGAGAAGGGCCGGCAGAGGGAAGCCGTGTTCCCCTGCCTGCACCCCTGGGGCCCCCTCCCTGAGGTGCACAGGAGTCTTCACGCCCTCCCCCCGGATCACGGTAAGTTCTTAAATCCTGCACAAGTCACGGGAAGTCCGAGGGAGGGTTTCATGCAAGCAAAAGAGGAGGATGGACAAAAGGCGGGTGTGAAGAGCAAGGGGGACGACACGGGGAGGGCCGCTGGGTGCAAAAGGCAGGCCCCGCGGGGCCAGGAGGGCCCTTCCCGGCGCCCTGGGCTAGGGTTCTCGATTCCCTCCTCATCGCGGCCATGCTCTCCGGTGAGTTAAGTCAAAGCCAAAGGAAGGACGGACAAGGACACGGATGGGTAGTTCACATACACGGAAACACAGATAACAGACGAATGTGAAGACGTGAGTAACATCACTTACTATGGAGACAAGTTTAAAACAAGACACTATTTTGTGAGCTCTTCTCCTTTAACCACCTTCTAAAATTGAGCAGTCGGACACGACACAAGTAAATGTTCAAATCGTTAAGTATACGAGGGGAGTAAGTGTCCCTCATTCCCAGAAGCAAACACCGGGACCAGACTTCCGTCCCCGCAGAGCCGCCCCTGCCTGGGCCCCACACCGGGGGTCAGCCCTGCTGGCGCGGGCTCTGTGCCACTCCGCGAGTCAGCAGTCTGTAGGCGGCAGGGACGCAGAGCACCTCAGGCTGTCCGTGACAGACAACACGGGGCGTCCCCCGCGGGGAGGGTGCCGCTCCCCACCCGGGCCTAAGGCTCGGGATGAGACGTCATGGATGCTGCAAGCACACCTCTCACTGGAAAAGAACCCTTACTTTTAAGGAAATTGGCCCTCAGTGTTTTAGCCTCAGGTGGTTCTTCTAAGACACACGGGTTCTCCTGACGGCCACACCTCCGTCTTTTTCCTTTATGATCTTATGTCTTGATTGGAAAGGCTTTGCCCCTCCAAAATTCTCAAGCAAAAATCCCTTTTATCTAGAGATTTTATGATTTTACGTATATATATATATATATTTAAAGATTTTATTTATTTATTTGAGAGAGAGAGAATGAGAGAGAGCACATGAGAAGGGGGAGGGTCAGAGGGAGAAGCAGACTCCCTGCCGAGCAGGGAGCCCGATGCGGGACTCGATCCAGGGACTCCAGGATCACGACCTGAGCCGAAGGCAGTCGCTCAACCAACTGAGCCACCCAGGCGCCCTTTTTTTTTTTTATTAAAGATTTTAGATTTTATGTATATATTTTTAAGATTTTATTTTTAAGCAATCTCTACACCCACCATGGGGCTTGAACCCACAACACCGAGATCGAGTCGCACGCTCCTCTGACTGAGCCAGCCGGGCACCCCTAGTTTATATTTAAGTCCCTGACAATGAGATCAGACGTGAGCAAGGAGACAGACACCCAGCGGTGTCTTACTGAGATGCAGGGGGCCAGCCTCCCCCGACCTGAAGCCTCGTCTGCCTCTGCGTCTGCTGTGAGGGGCTCTGGGGGCCACACCCTCTGCCGTCCCTCCCCCTGGCCAACGCACCACGGCCGGCAGCTCATCCCTCTTTCAGAACTTTCTGGCTATTCTCCCACATGCATTTTTCTTTTTTTTTCTAGATTTTATTTATTTATTTGACAGAGACAGAGAGAGAGCACATAAGCAGGGGGAGTGGGAGAGGGAGAAGCAGGCTTCCCGCCGAGCAGGGAGCCCGATGCGGGACTCGATCCTGGGACCCTGGGACCATGACCTGAGTGAAGGCAGACGCTTAAAGACTGAGCCACCTAGGCATCCCCCACATGGGATTTTTCATATGAACCTGGGTCTCAGGTCTTCCAGGTCTAAAATAAAGAAGTCAATTCTACCAGTGTCTTTAGTAGAATTGTGTGAAACATAAGCACTAATCTGGGGACAGCTGCAGTCATTGAATTGGGTTTGCTATCTGATCACAGTTATCAGAGCCTGCATGTCTCCTGCTCGGAATGTGCGCAAGTCTTTTATCTGTTTAGCTGCTGCAGCAAACGGGCTACTTCTCCTACTACATCTTCGAATTGCTTACTGCCACACATGGAAAAGTTGCCGGCGCTTGCAGGCTAGTTCACAATTCCCTGCTCTCCTGACTTCCCCCTGTCTCTGGTATTTCTTCCCACCTCTTATGCATTCCTCGGGTACACGATCACATCATTCATCCGTACGTAACAGAAGCTTCCTCTCCCTGCCCTCCCTGTCTTAACAGATGGCCTGAGCTACTGGTGCCTCGAAATAACGAGGACCTGGGCATCCACGTGTCCCCACCTTGCTGTGAACAGCTCCCAGTTCAACATGGAATAAGCGCCTGGCTTTTGGCTTCAGACATACGTTTTTATCATGCTATTAAGGAGGTATTCAATAATTTCTACTTTATTAGCAGTTTGGCTTTTTAATCTGAATGGATGTTAAATTTTACAAAAAGCCTTTTTGGAATCTCTGGAGGGGATTCTGAGTTTTGTCCTTATTATTATTTGGTAAATAATAATAACAAACATCTTAACACAGACTAATCTTTGCACAGCACGAAGACATCATTTCTCCCATTTTAGAATGGCAAAGATAAAAATTTTGATTCAGATATCCCCCGTTTCCAAAGTTCATGTTACGCCACTCCCCCTTTACTAAAGACCTATGTAAGTACCTGTTTCCACCAATCAAAAGAAATCTGAAGAGGCTTTTTGCTTTTTTTATGAGAAAAGCAAGAAGTGAAAACAGCGTTCAGCGCTGGTTGGGCAGAAAATTTAAAAGGAACTCTGTCCTTGTGGATCGTGGGGGAGACCTGTGATTCCGTACTGGTTACGGTGAAGGGGGAGAGCCGTTCTTTACTGCTGAAGGACGCATCAAGCGCTGTAATCTCCCTGCAGGAAGATTCAGCAATGTTTACCAAAATTTTAGACGCACAGAAAGAGCTCATTCACAGCAGCACTGTAATAGCAGAGTGTGGAAATGACCCACGTGTTGGTCACTAGGGGCTGGTGGGCAGCCCAGGTCAGTGCCCTGGGGAGCTTTGGAGCACCTTCCAACAAAGAGCAGGACCGGATATGGAAGACTTGCCGAGATGCTCCTGTTACGTCTGAACGGCAAGCCAGGTTTCAGTGCACACATCCACGTCCATGTAACAAACGGAGAAACACACCAGCTCGGCCCATGTTTATATGAAGATGCTCTGGAAGGAGGCACGGGGCTGTGAAGTTACCACGTGTCGGCGTGTTGGGGCGTGAGGAAGGGAGAGCTGGGCCACAAACCCTTAAAAACTGTACGTAACCTATCGCCCAGAAATCCCCCTCCTGAAAATGTCTGCCCTGGACACTCCTACCCCTGAGAGCAGACAGGGCACGAGGACTGCTTCTGGGAGCACAACCGCATCCGACCCAGACGTCGCGGCAAATTGATTGGATCAGTAATGCAAAGTGGGGGCTACAACATCAAGAGCAACGTTCTCTTTCCCAAACTAGGTGGTGGGTACAGGGGTTGTCTGTTTCAGGAAAGACCTTTATATCTCTTGCTCGATAAAACTCTAAAATTGTAAGCATCTATTCAATGGAATATGCAGCTGTGGGTGGCGCCCGGCCAGCTCAGTCCATGGAGCGTGGGGCTCTTGGTCTCGGGCTCATGACAAGTCCCACCCTGGGTGCAGAGCTTATGTTAAAAAAGAAAAAAAAAAGATTCAGACAACGTATAGAAATACGTAGCTACAGAATGGAGTGTGACCGGTGCGTGCATCTGAGACGTGTGACGACCTCTAAGACGTACTGGTAAGGAGACAGGTGGAGGACAGAAGACAGGATTTATACTTATTTTTGTTTAAAAAGCAAAACAGGGGCGCCTGGGTGGCTCAGTTGGTTAAGCGACTGCCTTCGGCTCAGGTCATGATCCTGGAGTCCCGGGATTGAGTCCCGCATCGGGCTCCCTGCTCGGCAGGGAGTCTGCTTCTCCCTCTGACCCTCCCCCCTCTCATGCTCTCTCTGTCTCAAATAAATAAATAAAATCTTTAAAAAAAATAAAAAGCAAAACAGAAAGAAAATGTACTAATATATGCATGGAAATTTCTAGAAGTACTCAAGAAGCTAGTAATAGTGTATAAGTCTGGGGAAGGAAACTATCAGCCTGAGGTAGAAAGGAGACTTTTCCCTGCATACTTTTTAAACTGGCCTGAATGATTTTCTATGCACATACGTATTCCTTTAAAAATGAAGTTAATCAAAAACAATTAAAAAGGAGCATACTTGCTGTAGGAGTGACTGTACTCTCTAGACGGCCACTGTGGGTCTTCCAGGGCTGGATCTGTTTCTGCGGGGCCACTCCTCCCGTCCCCGTGGCCCCGCGGCCCCGTCACCATCCCCGCGGCCCCGCGGCCCGGCAGCCCTTCCTCTCCCTGCCCTGGGGCGTGTGGCCATGGCGGGGCTGGGACACTCACTTGGGCTCGTGCGGAGGGCCGGACTGGTCGACCAACTTGAACTCGGCCGCGAAGCCATGGGAGCGGGCATACTCCAGCAGGCCGCCCACAGGGTTGGTGTTCAGGTATCTGACGAGCTCGCCAATCCTCCTGACCTTGTTGGGCATCCCAGACTCCAGGTTATCGAAGGATTCGGTGTTCGTGCCCCCAGGCTGAAGGAGAATTGGCCACACAAAGAGGAACCGTAAGCACCTACGGAAACTCTGAGGGACGCAGGGGCAATGCTGAGCTGCGCGGTCGCTAAGATGGCCCACCTGGGCATCAGAAGGCACCGAGCTGGTGGCCTCTCCGTGCAGAGCCTTCATGGCCTCCTCTGCAGCCATCTGCTTTGCCACCTTCTTGCTGGGGGCGCTTGCAGTGGGGAAAGTGTGGGCTCCCATGGCAACGCAGTATTGGAACCTGGCAGGAGAGGGGAGGAGCCGGGTTGAAGTGGCCCTGACAGCAGAGACCCCTCCGCCGGGCCGTCCCCTCCAGCCAGCGGGTCCTCGCACACATTGCCTCCGGGCCTTGGCCCACACAGCCCCTCCGCCTCGACGAGTCGGTGCCCTGGGCCCACCTCCTGCCTCCGGCCTCTCTCAGCCTGGCTGACCCTAAGCGGCATGTGAGCACCCGGCTGGCCGTGCCTCCTCCGAGAGCCCCCCTCCGGAACGTGGAGGTGTGCGGAGCCTCGGGTACGCCCAGATCCACACCTTTCAGACCCGCCACCGGCAACCACCGGGCCAAGCGTCTCCCCAGCGCTCGGTCCCCACTTCGCGCTTGCAATTCCCAATCCCAGACTGTCTGCCGCACAGCAGTGAGCATGCCTCGCGGCTCCCCACTCTCCGTACTGAAAGCAGGCGGACTGCTCAGTGGGGTAATGGGCCGCCTCTCGGGAGGCGGGCAGGAGAATGTCTCTCTCTCCAGGGAAAACCTCAGCAGAGATACATGACACAAGAGATGTACTTGGGGTCATGGGCAGGGCCTTCTCTGGACAGGAGGCGGAATTCACAGGAGCTCCCCAGCTTGTGCACGCACTCAAGCAAGGTCGTGACGGGGTTCTTCCCAGAAAACAAGGATGCTGCGGAAGGGGTGCTGGGCTGGGACTCTGCCATCTGGAGAAAATGAGAGACGAGAGAAAGGGCTGAGCGACCACAGGCTGCCGCGTCCCGGCGGAGCGGCGACAGCTCAGCCACACGCGAGGGGCTGACGTTCCAAAAGGAGAGGGTTGAGGGAGTTTCTGGGCATGTTACTGAGGCGGTTTGGGTCTCGTTTCTCATCTGCCAACAATGGCGCTTGGACTCGACCAGCTTTGGGGTCGCTTTCCGGCCTGGAGGTCTGTGACTCCAGCTGGGCTGGGAGGCGGGCAAGCAGGGGCGCTGGGTGTGAGGGGAGGGGAGCGTGGCCAAGGGGGGCAGCGGCGGGAGGGGGACGCGGCCTCTGAGCCACGGACTTGGCCGTTGGCGCTCAGACCGCCTGCAGGGATTGGTCAGGTGCTGCTACAGCGACCTGAGCAGAGCACGGGGCCCCCAGAGGGCAGGATGCCTACCTTCTCCGACCCCTTCTCTGTGGGATCGTACGGTTCTTCCGGTCTTCCGCTGTCCTTGGCTTTCGCTTCCTCCAGCAGGATGGTCATGGCTTTGAGCGCCGCGTCCTGCTTGGCCACCTTCTTGCTGCCGGCCTCAGCTGGGGGGAACTCTCGGCCACCAATGACGACTTGGAATCTGAATCTTGATGGAAGGCGAGTAGATGCTGAGTGCGGGCCGGCCGTCCCTGCCCCCCCCGCCCAGGGCCCTGCACCCGGGAGCCTCCTGCTACACAGAGGGGCTCCTGTCCCTTAGGAGCCTCGGTCCCTACCTTCCGGAAACAAAGCAGCCAGCGACTCTCCCCAGAGCTCATCAGAGCAAACACAGCTCAGGGGAGACCCGCTCTCTCTTCACAATCAGTTAAGAGAGAGCCTGTACAAAACATGATGACCTAAAATCACCACTGCGGCCACCAACGGCCTTCATTCTAAAGCAGCTGCGGCCGACTGGCCACCTCTAGGCGGGTCCTCAAGACGGCGAAGCCTCCTTCCCGCACAGCCTCACACTCCCACCGGCCTACAGGGATCGGGGACCTGCCGCTTCCTGGGGCCTGCTCCTGTCCCCAGCCTCCCTCAGAGATCCAGCGCGCTACGGCTGGGTCTGGGTCACTCTACGGCTCCACGTGTCCGGAGCCCGAGATGAAAGGCGTCTCCCTGGTAATGCAGAAAACCAAAAGCCTTTGTTCCAGGCCTCCGGACTTAGCTTGGACCTCCTGCACTCAAGTTTTCAAATCTGTTCGGCTCTTTGCTCAATCTGGGATTTCAATTTAGAAAGGTAGGTCAAATTTCTTATTTCCTGGGTCTTCGTTTCTTACAGCTGGAGTCCAAAGAAAGGTTAACTGCAAAACCCACTGCTCTCCCCCAGTTGGGGGGGGGGCGGGGAGGGAAAAGAGGGCACGACGGCCACTCAGCCTCTGTCCCAGACACGGACCAGTCCTGGCCCTGCGGGCTTTGGGACACACACACCCGTCTCAACAGCTCTCTGGCAACGCCCTCCCTGTCACGAAGACAGTCGACATGAGGAGTGAGGGTCGCAGCTGGGACCATGGCCTTGGGAACCAGCTCGCGGGGCTAAGGTAAAGGGCAGTGGAACGCGCCCCGCCCCCGCCCCGGGCCTGCTCTGTGGGGCACTGCGAGGTCTCTGCCCCCGGCAGCAGCCCCATCTGGGCCCACCCGTCTGGAACTTTCTGATTCACAGCTCCGGGACCACAGCAAGTACAGAGGAGGTGTGCGACCCTAGAAGCGGGCCACCAATCCCGACACTACCCAGTCCCTGCGCCTGCTCCCGTGCCTCCCTGGGGAGCTCCGCCCACGGAAGGGGGGAGGGGAGTCTAGGCTTCAGGACCTCCGGCCTTTGGAGGCAGGCAGGACACTGAGGCACGAAGGCCCGTCCAAAGAAGCTGCCTTCCAGCCAGAGGGTCAGGCTCCCCCTTGCTCAGCGGGGACTCTGGCTGGTGCGAGGCCTGCATTTCCTGCTCCAGCCTGGGAGGAAGGGCCGACGGGCGATTTAGCCAGAAGCCAGAGAGGCAAAGGGAAGAGGTGGGGCCGCCACGAGGGGCAGGGCTGCTCTGGAGGAGGGACAGGTCCGGCTCCCCAGCGGTCTCTTACCGGGGCTCATGGGGCGGTCCGCTCTGCTCCAGCAGGTTGAACTCACAGGTCTGACTGGCGAACTGGGCATACTCGAGCAGCCCGCTGATGGGGTTCTTGAGCTGACACTCGGTCAGCTTCTTGTAGGGCGAGCACCGCGGCCAGCCGTGACTGTAGAAGGAGGGCATCTCCATGATGGCGCGAAACTCACCTGGTGCCGCGTGGATGCTATTCAAGTCATCTGGGATGTCGTCGGTGGCCCACTGGCCGTTTTCAAAGTCAACATACCCTGTTCTCGAGGGGCCGTTGTCGTGGGCAGGTGGCTTCAGTTTTACCGGCTCTGGCGCGGGCCCCTGCTGGCTCTCCAGCTTGAGGACTGGTTCCTGCCCATTCCGCACTTCTGCAGCCGCCACGCTGTCCGAGGCGACCGGCGTGGCCGGGTGACGGGAGGGGAGCACCGCGTCTCCTCCGGTCTCAGGGACGGCAGCCGGCGCGGCCTCGGGGCCCAGGTCTGCGTGTCTCTTCTTTTGGACCCGCTCCCGCTTCTTGTCGGTCAGATACCACATGGGGGGAGCGGTGCCCTGCCAGTACACGTCACCCTGCCTCTCCAGCTCCATCAGCACGGCGTTCACGTCGCGGGCCCTGGTGAGGCCGATATTCTTAGCCACAGTCAGGGCAGAGGCGCCACACACGCTGAACAGGTAGTCGCAGACTTTCTCCTTGATCTCAGCCATGTCAAAAGGCCCGGTAGGAGCTTCCAAGCCAGACTCGGAGCGTCTGTCTTCAATTTCCAGACTGGGCCGTGAGGCAGGCGCTTCCTGGCCACGGCTGGGGACGCTGGCTACTTGGCCGTGCTGGTTCCCGGCCTGCACGGCGACTCTCCACAGAGGGGGCGTTCCCGCCTCCCGATGCAGCTGGCCCTTCCTCTCCAGAGAATATAAAACTCGATTGACTTCCTTCTTCGGGACTCTGAGCCTCCCGACCAGATCATGTGCCGTGGCAGCCTTCCCTTCCCCGAGCTCCTGCAGGAAGAGCTCTAAGACCCTCTCTTCCTGGCCCTGGCTGCTGATAGCTAGTTCCTGGAAATGGGAGGAGAGCCTGTCGACCCCTCTCCACGGCAGAGTCCTGCCGCGTGGGGCAGGACGTGGGGACCCTCTCTGGAGCACCTGACTTCTGGGAGGCACGCCTCTGGGGCCACCCCAAGTCCCCAGTTCCCTGCTCCTGGCAGGTGGTCCTGGAAACCTCGGCCCAAGTCCAGAGACGAATGGTGGCAGTGATGGCGTCTGCTTCCCAGTTAGGGGTGCTTCAGGGAGCAGCCCCTTGAGAAACTGTATCTGCTGGAGCTGGAAACGATTCGGATAAGATCCTGGCCCTGGCTGTTGGTGTCTGAGCCTGCTGTGCTCATAGCCTTGAAATGGATGGGGGTGGTATCTGCTGAGCGAACACCCCTGCAGAAGAAGACAGAGAAGAAAGTGAATGAGGACCTCGGCAGCGAGCCTGGGGGGGCCACACCTGCCTCCCGATGGGTGGAGAGGCGAGCGAGAGACGGGCATGTGACCCAGCAAGGCCTGCCCCCCACCCAGTACGGCCCGGGGGCTGCCGCAGGGAAGAGCGAGGGAGCGGAAGACGCCAGGAGCACACGGGGCGCTGACGCCTCAGCAGGGCCTCTCCTGCCACCCTAGCGCATTCTCTCCCCTTTGTCAGGACTTTAGGGGATTGAGAATGAGTCCTCCCACTTTCTAAAGGAAGTACCCTTCCAAGATAAAGACAAAGAAATAATTGTTATTTTGTTTCCAAAACAAACACAGAATAACCTCAAAATGCCAGTGGAGTCCAGGGATCAAGAAGTGGCCTGTGCAGGACCCCAGTCTCTCAGATCTACCGTTTGGATGGCGAGAACAAAACGCACGTGGGCTGGATGACCTGGAGCCCCAGACCTCCAAGGCGGCAACGGGGGCACCTTCCCACCTGGGGACCTCACAGCTTCATCTGCTCGCCACTGCCACCCCGGGAGGCCCAGAATTTGGTTTTGGGGGGGCCGGATGGTTTCTTTAGGAAAGGAAGGACACACTGTCCTCACACTTCAGCGTGGTGCTCAGGTTTGGAAGAGACACTGGGCACTTCTGCCCGCACCACCCAGGCTCCCCCGGACGTGTGGCGCTGGCGGGGCCCAATCCTGGACACCTCAGTCCCACCCCCCCAAGTCCCTGCGCTGCCTCCCCACAGCTGCTTCTGCCTCCTGTCCTTCAGAATTCCGTCCCCCAGGACACAGGCTGCCCCGAATTGTCACACCTCCCAGAACACTGCACACCTGTGTCCCCTACCCACAAAGGCCAGCTCATCCTCTGTCCCAGATGCTGTCCACCGGATGGGAGAGGGGGCAGGAGGTATTTAAGGGATCTGCGGGGCGACATCTAGCAACGATGTTTCCTCCCGCTCGTCCCTCCCCTGCCTGAGCGCCCTGAGAGCCCCAGTGACCTGTGGGCAGCTATGCCCTGCCTTCAATAACTAGCACCAGGGGATTTTCAGCACGTGGCTCGTCATGCTCACAGCGCCCTCACTCTGGGGTGCCTTAATGGCCGCCACCTGAGTGGCCTGTCCACTCCTCACTCAATCTCCCTGTCACTCTAGCTGGGGCCACCCCCGCTCCTCAAACCCGGAAACGCTCTCCCAGGAAAGGACCAGCTGGGCCTCTAAGGCAGCCGCAGACGACATGGGCAACCCTGGGTCTGGGGGCCGAGTCTGCCGGGTCCCGCTCTTTTCCCGTGGCGACTTCCCTGTGTGTCCACAGCCTCCTCCCCGGGCCCCCAAGGGGCCGGTGCACAGGTGGCCGCCGTGGCTGTGGGTCAGCGGCTCCCAAGGCGTCCTCATTCTGGCCCCACACACGTCCTCAATCAGCCTGGGGCTCACGGCCAGTTCCCCCCTCTCCCCAAGGGCCCTGCCCTCTTCCCACACCGAGGCCTCCACAGGTGCGGGGGGAGGGCACCGGCAGCATAACCTCCTCCTCCTGACCGTGGATTCGGTGTCCCGTTTCACAAACACGCACTGGCTCCCTGTGGATGGAGACTCTTCTTTACCAACGCCCCTCCCACGGTCTCCTGCCCCGTCTCTTCCTCTGTCTCTCTGGGTCCCTTTCTTCTACCCTTAGGTATAATCAGTCCCCAAGATTTTGTCTAAGGGCCTCTTCTTCCTCCCCCAGGTTGATTTCACCCCCCCAACCTAAATGAGCCCTCTTAAGAAACAGTGTTCCAATCTATTACCCCCAGCCACCACCTTGTAAAGCTAAAACGTGAATTTCCAAATGCCTAGACAGTCTGTCCACCCTGCCCTACCTCAAACACCACATATTCTGAACCAGATTAACCTTTTCCTCAACCCAGCCCCTTCTGCTATTCCTATGACTGTTGACAGCATTGTTCTCCTCGCAGTTATTAGGGGTAGAAACCTGAGCCAGCTTTGAGGCCTGCCTTCCTCGCTTCCCACATCTACTAGGGTAGTTGCTAAGTGCTATCTTGTCTACCCCCACCCCATAGTTTCTCATAAATGTGTCTTTTTCCAGCTCTAGCCCCTAATTACTTCTCATGAGGCTGCCACAAAGCCTTGATCTTTGTAACCCTACATTCCAATCCAGTGGGCCTGATGATCTCTCTACTGGCCCCATTACAACTCTCACCCTTTCCTTCGAGTTCTCCTTAAATGCCACCTTCTTCTGGAGACTTCTGACTCACAGTCCATGGAAGTTTCCTCTCCTTGAGCCCCTCCCTCTCGACTGCTATTATACCACTTACTTTACTTTTGGTCATACTACTGCTTTTTTTTTTTTTTACTGGCGCATATAAATTGTGGTGTATCTGCAAGGTGATTACCAATATTAAGTGCTCCAGAAATGATACTCAAGGCTCCACTCCCGATACTCTCCATCAAGTATTGATGGGGTGGGGGCACAGTCTACTTCACAGTGAGCTCCCAGGGGGGCGAGGACCAGGTCTCAGTTATCTCTGCACTCCTAGCACTGAAGATAGCAGCTGGCGTCAAGTTGATCCCGAACCAACATTTGTTGAATTAGTGATTGCAGCAACAAGCCGTCCCTAGAGGGTCAATCCCATCTCTTTGTTGTTCCTCCTGCTGCACACTGCCCTGCCCCCCCACCATACTGCTAGGGACCAAAGTGTTATGTGGGCACAGAGAGTGAGTGCCCAGCTCACAGCTGAATTATGGGGACTTCGGGGATTTTCCCATCAGCTGTTGGAGTGACCTTGGTAAAACAATTATTTTGCAAAGCGGTTAAAGTCAATCTAGCTAAATGCTAAACTTAAACTGCTGCTACTTGGCTAAAATCTGCAAAATATTTGAATGTCTGTCTATAGAAAAGGCGCCTGTAAATTATGACACGTTCATGCTATGGAACAGTACTTTTTTTTTTTTTTTTTTAAGCAATGTGTTACGATCTATTCATATCCACCTGGAGAAAATCTAGGAATGATACAATGTTGAATTAAATAACAACAAAAAAGCAAGTTGAAGTGCAGGTAGGCTCTATGCCCATTTTGGAAACAGAAGGCAAAGTCTCACCATTATGCGCATGTGTGTTCACACTAGTGAACACAGACAAGAAGGAAGGAAAATATACATGTATTTGTTCACAAGAGTTATTTTAAGGAGATTTACAGGGACATTATTAATTTTGTCTTTATGCCCCCTTAAGCCTTCTAAAAGCTAAGCCAAAGCATGGCTTGAGAACAGCCATGTGGAAAGCCACTGAATGGTGAGAGCGAGCTTGTGGGAACCAGCCCGTGGGGATCCTTCCTAAGTCCCTCAACATCCCCAAGCCCCTTCACAGCCATACCCCATCCAGTTCACTTTCATCTAATCTTCTGCGTTTAGGATCCAGAGCTGAGCCCCCACCTGAACCACATGGGCTCCAGAGGGTCATATATTGGTATGTGTGAAGAAATGCTTTTCCTTCAGGTCAGGTGTCCCTAATCCTTTGGAAGAAGGGAATGAAGAAAATATACATAACTTTTAAAAACGGAAGTATAATTTACATACATAAAATTTATCCTTTTCCGTGTGTTATTCTGTGAGTTTTGACTGTATGGAGTCAAAGCACATACAGCCCTGTAACAACAGCACGTCAGGACACAGAGCACTTCCATGTCCCCAGGAAGTTCTCAGGCACTCGGCAGTCAGCTCCTTCCCCCGCACCCAGGCCGGGGCCACCACCAGGCAGCCAGCATCCGCTTCCTGCCCCCCAGCTTTGTTCTTCCCACAATGTCAAGTGAAGGGACCCAGAAGCGCGTAGTCTTCTGGGCCCAGCCTCCTCTGCGTAGGGTAGTGACTGCGAGGTTCCACTTGTGGAATCAGGAGCTCCTCGGCGTTTCTGGCCTAGCCACGTACGCTGTATGGAGCCATCCCAGTTTGCTGATCCGATCATCTGCTGAAGGGCATTTGGGCTTTGCCCAAATTGTTTTTAGCAATAACGACACAGCTGCGATGGATATAAATTTTCTCCCACAGGTAAGAAGGGCTGTTTTTCACTCCCCAAAAGCCTTAAGGAAGTGGAAAGGGTGCAGAGAGGGGCCGGGGAAAACAAGCATGCTTCCCGGGAGGCGCCAACGCTGGGCCCTCGCCCAGGGGGAGGGGGCCGCTTGGCTCCGCGCCCCGGCGCGTCCTCCCCCGAAGCTCCCCTTCCCCCCCACCCCGCTCGGCTCCGCAGAATTCACAGGCAGGCTGCAAATTCCTGGAACACGCGCGCGCACAGCACGGGTGCACGCAGGGGAGAGAGGGGCGCGGGCCCAGCCAGGTCTGGCTGCCGGCCTCGACTCACCTGCCTGGGGTCCATGGCGCCCCCGATGCATGTCCTGGGCGGGGCTGGCGGGCCGCCCCCTCCCCGCGCCGCCCCCCCGCGCGGCCGCCAGGTGCCCCCGGGTCAGCAGCGCAGCGCAGCGCAGCCTGGGCGCGCGCCGGCGGGAAGTGGCCCAATTTCGCTTTCGTTTCTTCTGAAGGCCTTCCCCTTCGGGAAGTTTCGCGGGAGGAGGGGTTGAGCCGAGCCGGCGACTCGAGCCACTCCTGTCCTTGCGGGACCGCGGGCGGGACAGCCCTTCTCCAGGCCAGCGGCCATCAACGCACGACGCGCTGTCGTGCTCAGGAGCGCAAGGGGCAGAGCGGGAGGAAGCCGAGCCTCCGGCCTCTGCCTCGGGTCCGGCGCTAGTGGGCGGCGGCGGCCAAGGGGGCGGGGGCAGGTCTCCGAAGCGCCTGGGCCCCACTGTGGACCATTTATTCACGCTCCCGGCACGTTACAGGCGGACTTAAACCGACAACAGCTTGGGCACAGCTTAGGGTCGCCACGGTTCCTCCTCCAGGCAGGGGTTAAGTCCCTCCCAGGCAGAACCTCCTTCATGGTACCACTCTGCAAGGTACGCATGATTCTCACACGACAGACGTGGAAACTGAGGCTGGAAGGGCTGATAAATCCACGCCTCGCTCTGCATCACCCCCTGGGCTCCCTCGAGTTACGCCTTGACCTCCCAAGAGAGAACTTTTTTTTTTAAAGATTTTTTATTTATTCATTCGAGACACAGAGATACAGAGAGAGAGAGAGAGAGCACGAGCGGGGGAGTGGGAGAGGGAGAAGCAGGCTCCCCACCGAGCCAGGAGCCAGACGCAGGGCTCGATCCCAGGACCCTGGGATCACGGCCAGAGCCGAAGGCAGACGCTTAACCATCTGAGCCACCCAGGTGCCCCCCCAAGAGAGAACTTATCTAGAGGGGGAAAGGCAACTGCTTTCATGATAGGCTTATACAGTTGCTCTGTTTTGTCCAAGAGATCAATTCTAGTGATAGGCAGTCCCCATCCCTCCCCAATGAGAACTTTATCTTGTGTTTCATCTGCACTTCATCCCCATTGCCTGTGAGATTCACAAGGCGGCCCCTCCCAGCATGAGGTCCAGCTGGTGTCCTTTCTCTACCATCCCCTCCGAGCATCCAGGGGTGCATCATCCCAATTTCACATTTCCAGTGCCGTGAGCTTTCTCCGTTCTGTGCCTTTGCACATTTATTCCTTGGCCTAGAATGTACTTCTTCCTGATGAAACAGTCTTGATCAAGATATTACCTCCCACGGAAGCCTCACCCCACTCTGGGCTGGGGAGTGGGTGCGGTTTGTAATTCCTTATTTTGTGCTTCTCCATGACTCAGCACGTACACTACTAGAGCACTTGCACCACCCTCAGAAAACGCCTCAGTCATTGAACAGAACTTCCCTAAGTGGGTGCCACGCAAGGTGTTAATAAGCACTGAGGATATGCATCCTCCGCTAACAGCCTGGTAGGGAAGAACGGCCCTCAACAAAGATCACAATGCGGTGAATTACTTGGTTATGTATCTGCCTTGAGTCTTCTCCTCCAGGCAGGAAACAGGTGTTATACATCCTCACATCCTCCACATAGTGACCTTCAGAGGGTTGGTTAGCTAACAGACCACTGGATAGAAAGACCAGGAATGTCCAAAGAAGAAATGGAAAAGATGGACAAACCTACAAAACAGTACTCAATACTTAACTTCACCGCATGGGGGAAATGCTCAGGAAGGCCACGGAGACTTACAGCCCTTCCTCCAGACAGGCACCTTAACCGTCGGATCAGACCAGGCGGGAGCAGCTCCTGATCTCTACAGGAAACAAGTTTCCCATCACATAGGAAGGTGTGAATATACACACCCTACAATTCAGCAATTCCACTTCCAGACCTGGATACATGTACACGGAGTTCACAGTTACCTTATTCACAACAGCTCCCAGCCTGGAAGCATCCCAGATGTCCATGAAAAGTAAAATGGGTGAAGGGTGGCATATGCCAATGATGGAATATTCTATAGCAGCAGACGTGAAAGAACTGTAACCACATGCAATAAAGTGGGTAATTATCGTAACATGATAGCGAGTGAAAGAAGTCATATAGGTCCTACCTGGTTCCACATACACGAAGTCCCAAACCAGGCAAAACTGTAGTAGGCACTGCATAAAAGCCAGGAGGGGATTACCTCTAGGGAGGAAGGAGGTGGCTACGGATATTGGCTGCTTCCCCACGGTTCATTTAAGTCACACACTTGCACTTTATGCACATTTCTGCACGGACGTGCTACACTTCACAATTTGAAAAGGTTAAAAACAACCACAAACTCTCCCTATTGTCCTTCCAGCCTGTCTCGCTATGTTCTATTTTCCACGTAAGTAAAATGTGTTAGGTCTTACCGCTGTTTTCCTACCTTCCGGCCAAACAATCCCACAGCCTTTGACCCCTCTATAAGAACTGTCTACAAAAGCCTGCACGCAGGGGAAGCTCCCTCTTAACCTGACACAGGACGCAGTGCTGACGCAGAGGGGGACACACGCTCCTGAGCGGGTCGGCGCCAGCCGTGAAACTGTCCTCCGCCCCTGCAGCTCCAGCACCCGAAGACAGTCTCAACTTCAGAAAATGCACCCAAACTGGCCCCAGTCCTCTGCTGTTAATTCACCGGTGCCTGCCCTTCCCGTGCTTCCTCTGTACGTAAAGCACTCTGAGCACACAGGTGCTCCCCTCCGGGGCCCGTGAGTGTCTGCTTGTGAAGTAACCCCAATGCCACATTCAAGTCCTCCTGTGTCCGTACACCTAGGTCTCCTTGCTAGCAGGCGCCTACATGAGAGTCACCATCTAAAATAAGGCATGCGTCCAACAGCCCCTGGCTCAGTGCTCTCAGTGCTGCCAAGATCTGGCTCCCGGTGTGCGGCTGGGAACCTGTGCTCCCCCCGATGATGGGGAAGGTTGTGTTATCATCCGGGCTTCCCGGGGTGGTTTTAGTCTCCAATCTCAGTTATCTTTGCTTTTTAACTATAAATGTTAGTCTGGCTTTGAAATGATTAATTTGAGTTGTTATGTATAACCTGACTGTGAGCAGGGATGCATATTTACAACAGTCCTTTTACTCCGTCATTTCCTATAGCCAGACCTTATGCACATATGGGCTACATCCAACTGAATCATCTATGTCCCTTCTGGAAAGCAGACGTCTGCAAACTCCTTCAATACTTGCTCAGAGAGCCACGCTGCAACAGAAACGTCCTGCCTGTGAGTGTTTGCTACTTAACTTGCAATATGTTATATAAAAAAAGTAATAAATTACTAAGTTACTTTTAACTACTAGGGCATCATTCTAGAACAGGATATGCACATAAATAAACTTTTTTTTTTTTAAGGTTTTATTTATTTCTTTGACAGAGACAGAGCACAAGCAGGGGAAGGGCAGAGGCAGAGGGAGAAGCCGACTCCCCACTGAGCAGGGAGCCCGATGTGGGGCTCGATCCCGGGACCCTGAGATCATGACCTGAGCCGAAGGCAGACGCTTAACCGCCTGAGCCACCCAGGCGGCCCAATAAACTCCTGTTCTTATCTTAACTCCTAGGAAATCCATAATAAGCAATTCATAGAGCTGCTAGGCACGCATGTATTGCCTGCCTTTTTGGTTGTCGTTTCTCTTCGATTCTTTATCACTGGGTTTTGATTTCACTGAAACAGCTACTGCTACATCAACATAATCTCAACATTCTCAGGCTCTTCCCACAATAACGCCACTTGCTTTGATAACCTGTATGGCTTTCTGCACACAGACCGGTGACTGCCCAGCGGCTGTATTTATGCTGATGTCTGGTGTTAATGACCAGACTGGCCTTTGAAGTTACAATAAGGTAAGAGATGCTGCAAGTACTCCAGAGACAGAGGTGTCTAACCGCGCCCCTACTAGCAGAAACTGCCGTACCCAATCAAAATTACCCAGTAAATGCAAGAAAAGTGGATTTACCAACTATCTACAGGCACCAGGTACTGTGATAGCAAGTGTCATCATACGTGGAAGATACAATATTGGTAACAATGTCAAAACCGTACGAGAATAATGGCTAACAGGCCCGTGCTAAATATTTCACGTGGAAGTTTAAACCATCAACACATATTTAGTCTGCTAAAACCCCACAGGATGACCTTCTTGTGACTTTATGCATCAAGCCCTGACGCTCTTAATCTGCCTCTCCTGTGCCAGACTGGCCTGGCACATGGCATATGACTGACTTCTCATCTGGCTGCTGGCCCACATTTGGGCTCCTCTGAGTCAGGGTCCAAGGGGGGGACCTCCCATTCACTCTTGCCCTCTCTTCATCCCTAGGGCCCAGCCTGCAAGTGGATGGGCTCAGTCCCAGCTTCCTCCAAGGTCGTGTCCCCATCTCCACGGTCTGCAGGAGGCAGAGGGACAGGTGCAGCTCTGCACTAGGCAGGCTTAGCCTCTGACCCTCAGCTCCGCATTGTCTCCTGGGTAAGCAGCCTGATGTCACCAACAGCCAACTGCTGAACAGCCGTTTGCCAAACAGCCAATTCCTTGAATGACCAATTTACAAAATAAACGATATGCTGACTTCACTTTTTTAAGCTGTCTAGTCTTAACTGAGCAGTTTTTAATTCTGTCTTCATAATAGTCTTAGAAGAAATGTAGTCTGCCCGTCTCGCCGTTGCTGTAGAGCTGAGCCCGAGGAGGAGACTGGGGACAGCAGAGGGGCAGAGGTTGAGGGGCTCCTGCAGAACTCTCAGTGGACTGACTTTGTGGACACTGAACTAGAGCCACTTGGAGATGCCCACAGTGCTATTCCCAAAGGGAATGAAAAAGGCTGTGCTATTCCTAACACATGTCTTTAAAAGCCTTTCCTTCAGCACTGACAAGTTCACAAACATTCCCAACTACACGCGCTGAGGAGGAGGCAAGCGGAGAGAGACTTGAAGAGGCTGACCTTGAAGACCGGAGACGCAGCCCCAAGGTAAGCAGTGCTGGCAGCCCCGGGAGCTGCAAGGGGTTCTCACTGAGAGCCCCTGCCGGGAGCCCAGCCCACAGTGCAGATTTCAGCTCTCTGGCCTCCAGGACTCTGCTGTTTGGAGCTGCCGAATTTGCAGTAGTTTGTACTGCGGTTCTGGGAAATGAACACAGCATCCCTGACGGTCAGGGCAAACCAGGGAGCTGAGTGCACAGGGGCAGAGGCCTTACTCTGTAGCCAGGGATCTGTGCATCAGAGGGGACATGTGCACAGCCCCGTCTCCACTTGTTAGTTAGACCAAACAGTACACCTTTCGCATTACTGTCCAGCAGAATTAGTCTTCTGTTTTCATTTGAAAAAATATAACAATAAACCAACAGCCAATATCATATTTAAAATGGGTTAGGCATTCCCACTGAATGAGAAAATAAGGAGGGCCACCATTACTACTCTGATCTTATTTCTTCAATTCTGAGACGCACCCCTAACATTTCTGATACTGTAATGTGAATTACAGTGTGTGGTAGCCCCCCAAAGCTATTTTTGAATCAGTAGCATGTTCTACGCTCAACAGTCTTAGAATGAAAGAAATACGGTATTAAAATTGTTTTGGAAATGCTAGCATCTAATGGAAAACAGAAATATTAGGTAAACTTAAAAGTGAAGAGAAAACAGATATGTGCAGATAATACCAAAACTCTTAATTGATTGCAGGATGAAAAACTCTTAGAAACCAATGGCAGTCAAGGAATATGGCTGGATGTAAGAAAAATACACAAAACACAACTTCTTCCTTATATGTAGGATAAAAATACTACATTCTTTTTTTTTTTTTTAAAGATTTTATTTATTTTATTTGAGACACAGAGAATGAGAGACAGAGAGCATGAGAGGGGGGAGGGTCAGAAGGAGAAGCAGACTCCCCACCGAGCAGGGAGCCCGATGCGGGACTCGATCCAGGGACTCCAGGATCATGACCTGAGCCGAAGGCAGTCGCTTAACCAACTGAGCCACCCAGGCGCCCAAAAATACTACATTCTTAATAGCAAATAAAACATTTAAAAAAAAGGAGAGAGAAACATCTAGGAATAATCTCAAGGAACATGCCCAGCCTACATGTGGAAAAGTATAAAACTCTGCTGAAGAACGTATGTCTTAAATAGAAGGATCACCAACCCCAAATGTGACGGCGGAACAGTTTATGAATGCCAACAAGAGCCAAATTCAGTAACGGTTTACTGCAAATTCTAATGAGGTGAGAGCAGTAAGGAGTGGATATCTGACAAAATGATTAGAAAGAAGACAGTTATGCTAATTAATTCAGGGCTGAGGTGGTATCCTGCAAGAACGGAGTACAGACTGGCAGAGCAGAACCACATTCCCTAAATAGACCTCAGTGTGTGTACGGGTCCAGTGCACGATGGGAAGCCGAGAGCAGCAGTGAGGGGAAGAAGGTATGTCAAAACATGGAGCTCAGCCAATTCGTTGGCTTTTTTGGGGAAAAAGTCTATTTAGAGCCTTGCCTTATATTAATAAGCCAGAATAAATTACAAATGGATTAAAGGATTATCTGTATTTCAAATAAAAACACTAAAAAACAAAGTCAGTATGTATGACTTATTTCACAGCAATGGAAGATATCAGAAAGGAGAAGGACATCTGTTCGCTGCAGATAAGTTTTGTACTTCAAAGAATATGGCATTGTTTGAAAACAAGTTTGAAAATGTCTTGTAACACCACGCAAACAGAGAGGGAGCACTTTCCACACATGCCGACCAGAGGTCCCAGGCATCTGCGTATGCCAGGTATTCAGACAACACAGCACACACAGGGCTCAGCGGGCCAGCCCTGCGCTTTACCCCATAGCCCCACGATCACCTGGGAGACGGGGGCGCTACTGCTGTCCCCAGGCTGCAGAGGAGGAAACTGAGGCTGAGCCCAGCTATTCAGGTTGTTCAAGGTAACACAGCCAGCAGGATCCAGACACAGGCATTCCGCTCCCAAGCCGGTGCTCCCGGCCTCTACGCTAAGCTACCCCCACTAAAACGCAGTCAACAGAAAGGCAATCACACACACGCAGACACACACAGGTACAAACGCCTGTCAAACACTTGGGAAAATACTCAATCATACTAATAACTAACGACATGAAAATGTAGTATGCTCTACGTCTTCATTCATAAAACTGGTAATAAAAAATGAGATTACTCAGTGCTAGTTGGGGACTCCATGCTTACCTTCACAATCTAATCTTGGACTCTAGGAATCCACTCTGGCCCTATCCAAAATGTTCTCAAATATGATTAGGTCACGGCCATCTCCCTTCTTTAAACCCCTTATGGCTACCCACTGGTTTTTGGATAAAGGCCCAATGTCCTAACAAGGCCTGCAGTATGCCCCCACTTCCTGGCTAAACCTCCCCTAACCAGACCTCACAAAAGTCACCTTCCATTCTGTTTGTCCAACAGTCACAGAGCACTCCTGCAGCCTTGAAAAAGCCAAGTCACGCACTGTTTTCTCCCTCAGTCCTGTCCCTACACCAGAGGGCAGAAGGCACATAAAATTCACAGTACCCATAACTGTAGGAAAGGTTTCTTCATGGTCTTCATCACCAGTTGTAGCTACATATTTGCAAGACCATTTGATTACTCATAATGTCTGTCTGTCCTGAGCAGTGCGAGTCTTAGGCCCCCGTGACCCAGCCTAGTGCTTTGGCAATAGAAGGTGCTCAACAGATATCTGTAGAGTAAGTATACGTCAATGACTGGATCAAAGAAAGGGGCGGGGAGAGGAAACCAGGAGAGGAGGAGAAATAGGCACTTTATATACTGGCAGTTAAGACCAAGGATGGCTTCCACTGTTTTATAAGGTAACTGGATGTTGTGTGTCAAATGTCTTGAATGTCTGTAACCTCAGTTAATAGTCAATAACCATTATTATTAATAACATAGTCCTAGGGGCATCTGGGTGGCTCAGTCATTTGCGGGTCTGAGTCTTGTTCTCAGCTCAGGTTCTGATCTCAGGGTCATGAGTTTAAGCCCTGTGTTGGGCTCCCCACTGGGCATGGAGCCTACTTAAAAAAAATGTAATCCTATTACTAGTTATTAATAAACATAATAAAATCATAAAAATCTATGTTGGGAAAGAGAATTGGAAATCTAGTATAAAAAGTTACATTTGCTACAGCATGGTTTGCAACAGGAAAAAACCTGAAAAGAGCTTTAATGCCTCCAGCTGGAGATATGGTCATGTAGATTCTGGAATGACCATGAATTATACAACACGTTAACAGTGGTATTTACAGAGTTAATGCCATGGAACATGTTTAAATCATAATAAGTGAGCAGAGAACAGAACATGAAATTGAAAATAGAGAGTAATTTTAGCTTTGGGAAACAATATGCCTAAGTGCCAGGTACTGCTGACCCGCTGCCCTACAACTAAGCCTTTCTTTTTTAAGATTTTATTTATTTATCGAGAGAGAGAGAGAATGAGAGGGGGAGGGTCAGAGGGAGAGGCAGACTCCCCGCCAAGCAGGGAGCCCGATGTGGGGCTCGATCCTGGGACCCTGGGATCATGACCTGAGCCGAAGGCAGACGCTTAACGACTGAGCCACCCAGGCACCCCCTTTTTTTTTAAAAAAAGATTTTATTTATTTGAGAGAGAGAGAATGAGAGAGAGCACATGAGAGGGGTTAGGGTCAGAGGGAGAAGCAGACTCCCCGCCGAGCAGGGAGCCCGATGCGGGACTCGATCCCGGGACTCCAGGATCATGACCTGAGCCGAAGGCAGTCGCTTAACCAACTGAGCCACCCAGTCACCCGGGAGGCAGTTACTTTTCTTTTCTTTTTTTTTTTTAAAGATTTATTTATTTATTTATTTATTTGAGAGAGCGAGAATGAGAGAGAGAGAGAGAGAGTACATGAGAGGGGGGAGGGTCAGAGGGAGAAGCAGGCTCCTCACTGAGCAAGGAGCCCGATGCGGGACTCGATCCCGGGACTCCAGGATCATGACCCGAGCCGAAGGCAGTCGCTTAACCGACTGAGCCACCCAGGCGCCCACTAAGCCTTCCTTTCTGAGACAGCCCTGATTCTGTCCACTTTCCTGAGGCCAGGCTCCCTCCCCAGACCCAGGGGGAGGACTGTCATTAGTCTAATAACCTCCTCTGGGCGATCCATTTTTCTTGCCAGTGATACATGTGACAGCTCTGACCAAGAACACACAGCAAGCTGTCCAGGTTTCCCGTGATGAAGGTCCCTGCTGCGGACAGGTGATGCCCTAAGACGGCGGAGTGGAGGGCTGGCTGAACCAACCAAGGCCACAGCCAGCAAGTCTGTGGTGTCAGCAACACAGCGCTGCGTGAAACACACCAACGTGTGCGGATGCATAGGATTACCAGTGATTTTACTCATTTCAGAGTTTCCTACAATTGTCAAGTTTTCTATGAGAAAGCATCTATCACCCCAAAAATGGGGGGGGTCAGTAAGAATAAAAAGATAAGTACAGATGGCATGAAACTTGCCCTCAAGAAGCTCCGAGTCTAGTCATGGAAGCAGCCATGTAAGTAAATGATTAAAATGCCACGTGGTAACACTGTGAGACACCACAGCACTCCCCAGCTATGGGCACGGCCAAAATAAAACCCTCACGGTATCTGAACTGGGTGAGGGTTGGGAGCAACCGGAACTCTCGGACGCCGCGGGCGGCAACCTGAAATGGAGCCGCTGTTTGGGACGCTGCTCGGCAGTTCCGTCCAAGGCCAAGCATACAACTACCCTCATCCCAGCAACTACACCCCCGGGTACGTACCAAGGAAAATACAAAGACATGGCCACAAAGAGACTGACGTAAGACTGTTCAGAGCCGGGAGTAAGACGCGGAAAGGGGGAGCTGTTGCCTAATGGGTAGGGTCTCAGGTTTACAAGAGAAAAAGTTCCAGGTGGTTCACAATGCAAATGTAGGTAACTGCTGCACTGTATGCCTGCAAACGGTAAGACAGTAAATCTCAGGCTATGTGCTTTGTACCTCAATAAAAAAGAAGAAGAAAAAATTCATAGACTTATTCTTAAAAGCCCTAAGCTGGAAACAAACCAAACGTCCGTCACGAGGCGGGTGCATCAACTGATGTATATTCACACAGAGGGCAACGTTTGAGCCCAAATGAAAGAAGCCACGCACAGAAGGAGGTGTTGCAGAATCCCATTTATGTGAGATTTTAGAGCAGCAGAACTAGTCTATGGGGATGACAGACTACTCAGAGCAGTGGTGGCCTCTGGGGACAGGGATGACTAGGAAGGGGCGTGAGGGAACTTTCTGGGGTGATGGAAGGGTTTTATTTTCCTGATTTGGATGGTGACTGAATGGGTATATATTTGTCGTATTTGTCCATATTCGCCGAAATATTTGCTGTCTATTGTATGTAATTGTATCGTAATAAAAAAGAGTCTCAGGGAAACAGTGGGCTGAGGGAACTGGAAGGGGCTAAACTCATCCTCTTGGCTACACGCCAAAGAGCTGCCAGTGGGACGAGACAGATCAGCAGCCACAGATAAACACTGTCCCTGCGGCGGTTCATGGATACGCCAAGAACATAACATTGTGAGAACTTTACATACATTTTAACCTCAGTTCCACAGCACAAGCTTTGATATTCTAATAAATTACTTTAAAAAGGAAAAATATACGATATATACACTAATGTAATGTAAAATAAAACATAGGCCTTCATCTAATTCAAACTGGTTTTATTTAAAACATTACACAATATTTTCATCAAATATTTCGTTAAAATTGGAAATAAAACGGATGATTAGCTTTATAAGGTAATAAAAAAGCAAAACATAAAATACTATAATACAGAATGAAGAAGAAAAGCTTACAAGCAAAGGAAGAAATCAGAAAGTACAAAATTTGTCTACAGAATAATGAAAAATAGGTTTTGTATGTTTAATGAAAAAGCCAAAATTTTTTAGGATTTTTTAGATGGCAAACAACAAATTAGAAAAATATTCACAGCAAATAAAGTTTTTTGTTTGTTTTTATCATGAGCACATACTCAGGTTTTTTTAGGGAATTTGAATAATTTATAAAAAAAATAAATGCAATTAAGTGACTAGACAAATACTGAGAATTTAAAAAATAGAAATAAAAATGATAAGCATATGCAAAAAGAATTCAAACTTAATCATAACAAAAGATGCAAATTAAAGCCAGACAATGTAGCAAAGCTTTTCCTTTTTTAGTTAAAATACCCAGTCTGGGGTAGGCAGGCTGGGGCAGGCACAGGGAGCGCTGGGTGTGGACACGGGGACTCACTTTTCTGGAAGCGTCTCAGGACTACGCCTGCTCCGTGCACCGCAGCAGGTGGAGGTAAGTGTGGGCTGAAACACTAGCCCCTGCCTCCCCAAGTCTCCAATGCTACCAGAACTTGTTAAAAGAAGAAACAAAAGGGAGTGGGCACGGGTCGGGTTCCTGGAAGGGAAGGCACAGTAACCTGGGAAGACGGACGTGCTCTGCGGGGTGCTGGGCACAGATGTGGGCCTTCCCTGGGAGAGGCCGGAAGACTAACACCTGAGCAACCCTGTCCTGCCAGCAGCCCCCCAACCCCCCCCAACCCCCAACCCGGGCAGGGCAGCTCTGTGTCCCTGGGATCGGTGGCGGGTGCAGCAGAAGCACCCTGGCCACAGGAGGGGAAAGGAGGAATGGACAGGCATGCAGAGCATGGCTGCATCTGGGTGACAACCAAACGACCACACACACAGGGAGGTCTATATATCCACACTGTGTACATGCACATAGGTACGTAGATACACTTTCATTTCTTTAATGACCACAACTAAAACCCTCCTCAGGAAGGAGGTATGTAACACAGGCAGTAGGTCCACCTCTGGAGGGTGAGATGAGCTGCATGGACGGGTCTCATTCCTTGCAGAATTTTCTAATTGGGATTTTTTCCCCAAAGATTTTAAGTAATCTCCACACCCAACGTGGGGCTAGAACTCTGCTCTCCCCCAAGAGTTGACCGCTCCTCTGAGCCAGGCAGGCGTCCCTCTAATTGGGATTTTTTAGTGTTTCTTGAGTGTTTTGGTATTTAAAAAGAAAAAAAAGTTTTAAAGTTCACAACCCTTGTTCCCAAAACTCCAGTCGAAGAATGAATTATTTATAAAAGGCTTAGGACAGTGCCTGGCACCTTGTAAGTGCTCAAATAAATGTTTTAAAAATAAATACCCTAAGGAAAAGGACTCAAACTATGGAAAAAGCCTCCCTATACAACCTATCACAGTTCGGAAAGGGTTGAGTATGGAGGGAAACATTTCACAGGGTGGAATTCCATGTGGCTTCTCCTTGGGGCCTGACCCTTGGCCTCTGCAGGGACCTGGGGAGAGGTTCTGCCTTTCCAGGGTGGGCTTGCAGTACTGGAGTTTACAGAATTTACAGTGAGAACTGTATCTATCGTGCAGACTGGAATCCTCATCAACACGATGTCAGCGTTTTCTCCCTGTGGGCAGATTTTCATTCATTCATTTAATAAACATTTATTAAGCACAAAGCACGTGCAGGCACTGTCCTAGGTCCTAGAGACACAGCAGTAAATGAAACAAAACCTCTTTTCCTCGTTATTTTCATGAAGTTGATGTTCTAACAAGGAGAGACAGGCAATAAACAAATCAATATACATCAACTGCTTGTAAGTGCTAAGAAGAGAAATAATGCCAACTAAGGATGGGAGTGATCAAATCAGGTGTTTACCCATGAACAGGAGAGAAGGGGGCCTCACTCACTGATGGAGGTCCAGGACGGCTTCTGGGAGAAGCATGACCTGAGTCCAGAAGGCAGTCAGTGGGACGAAGCTGCGGGAAGGGTCAGGAGGCTCAGGGTCAGCGCCACCACACAGCAAAACTCGAGGGACACACGACACCGGGGGGATTCGTTCCAGCCGGAAGGCTGTGGAAGGGCCCCAAAGAGGTGGGATATGAGCACGTGCACACACGCATACAGTGGGCATCCCACGTGGTTATGGACCAGTTTACTCCTTCATCCCAGGAGTGGGCCTGTGACAGACCTGACCAAGCATGGCATCCCTGTCTCCTTGGCCACTGAGATTAGTTTACAATGCAGGAGAACTGTAAAGTCACCGGCTTGGGGCTGCCAGTGTTCAGCTTTTTCAGCATGTCTAGAGAAGGCAGCAGGAGAAAATGAGGCCAATAAACAAAAAGGAGCAGAGAAAGGCAGGGCCAAGAGAGTCTTCATGACATTCTTTGAGCCTTATGATCCAGCCATACCTGAAGCTCATCTTTGGACTTCCTAGTTAAATGATCACAAGGGGTTGGGGGGACTCTTTTTTGCTTAAGTTAGTTTACACTGGGTTTCTGCCATTCGCAACTGGATTAATATACCCTTTTTTGGGGGAAAGAGCTTCACTGTGTATGTGGTGGTGATGGGGTACAAGGGTAATGGAGGATAGATTATGTGAGAGTTTCTCCCATTAAGTTTGATAAAGACAGTGAAAGAGGTGGCTTTGAGGCACCTGGGAGGATTTAGAAGCAGCAATGACAGGTCCTTGGGTGTGCGTGTAAGTTACAGTCTATATGGATGAGTAATATAAACCTGTGAGTTTATATAATCCACTGTATGGCCCTAAGTCATCTTCAGAGAACTAACACAGAACAGCTGATCAAAGACACCAAGAATTATCTATTTAAAACCAGTTTACTATTCCCACATTAATGCACATCAGTCACAGGTCTTTCCCAAATATTTAATGTTGCCACAAACTTAATATTTTGAACTCTTTACCCTATACCAAACAATCATCCAGTGTTCTCCAGAAAACTTAATTCAGGCGGCTAGACCCATTACGGTCCAATTCTAACAGATGTTTAAGCAAAATAAACTGCTGTATCTCAAGAGATCACTACAGATGCCCAAAGCTCAGATCCTCTTGTTCACATATTTGAAAACTCTAATGAGTTGGTCACAGATAATAATACCAACCTCAGACTAAAATACAGCTTCAAATCTTTAAATCCATGAACAAGAAAGATGTTCCTATTACACCATTACCATATAAGAACAGCTAGCTAAGGAAGCCTTTGTGTATTAAGCAATGGGTCTCATTCCGGCAGAAATAACAATACCTCAAGATTTTTTCTTCTTTCCACAGGTATTTACCAAATACCTACTGTGTGCCCACGATCCCAGCACTGTGTGCCCATGAGCCTTTCCTTTTTCTCTGGGTGAAAAGGCCAAATCTCGGTTCACATCTGGACAATGCTGGGTAAAATGTAAAATAAAAGATAATTTATCACTGAACAATTTGAAATATTATTCTTTCAGCAAATCCTGGCCCTCTGAACTCTGCTTATGCTTCCCTTGCCCCACTACCCCAGGTTCACGATGTTAGGACCGCAGTCACTGAGAAATAAGCCCGAGAAGCCTGGGTTCCAGTTCCAGTTCTGCCATTAATCAGTGTCGGGATTTTGGCCGAGACTAATCTGGATCTAAACAATGGGGATATGCTTACTTATTGCACTGGGCTGCAGGAGGTATTAAATCAGAGGATGTGGGCGCCTGGGTGGCTCAGTTGGTTAAGCGTCTGCCTTCGGCTCAGGTCATGATCCCAGGGTCCTGGGATCGAGTCCCACATCGGGCTCCCGGCTCAGCGGGGAGCCTGCTTCTCCCTCTGACCCTTGCCCCTCTCATGCTGTTTCTCTCTCGCTCTCTAAAAAATAAATAAAATCTTTAAAAATAAATAAATAAATAAATCAGCGGGTGTGAAGTGTTCTCTACAGTGTGAGGCACACAGCAAGTGCTCAATAAAGAGAAGCTGTAACTAAATGAGGCCTTAACCTCTTTCCAGTTCTAAAATTTTATGAGGTCTTTAGTAGAGAAATGATGGATTTTGAGATTCCTCCTTCTACACCCCCCCCCCCCCGTCCGCTTCATCACATCTGGCAGAACAGCAAACACCCAAAATAGCAAAAGGTCCCCCCTTCCCAATCAGCTGTACCCACGGGAAGCCTTCAGCAAGGGAGCAAGTTCAAGCGCCTGGGTGCCGTTCCCTTACTAATATAGCTGGACACTCCAAAGTCTGACAATAGCCCCGCGAGGTGGATGTGATTACCCTCATTTGGTCGGTAAGCGCAAGCAGGGGAAGTTCAGTAACTCACTGGGCGTTACACAGACGGCAAACGGCAGACCTGACTGCAAAGTTCATGCCCATGTCCACTCTGACTCCTCCGCTTCCCATACAGCAAGCACGCAACTGTTTGTTTGAATAACGAAAAAGGTATTTCGGGGGCTCTGAGACGACGGGACGAGCCTTCTTGGGTGAAGGAAGAAGCCGGCCCATCACCCTCGCCTGCTCGACCATCTGAGGCTCCCGCGTCCCGCGCTCCCCGCGACCTACCGCCTCCCCGCCGGCGGCAGCACAGGCCTGCGGTGCGGGCGTGCTGCCTGAGCGGCTCGGCCTCCGCCGGGGCTGCCCCGCGCCGCACTCCAGACCCAGCGGCAGGCATCGCTTTCCCCAAGGCAAGGCTCCCAAACTCGGGCGTCACACGCAACCCCTGCGGCGGGCTTACCCTCCGGCGGGCCCGAGAAGCACGCCGAGCGACGGCGGGCGGAGGACAGGCGCTGACGCAACGAGGCCTCCTGCAGCGGCGCCAGGCCGAGGCACCGCGCGGCGGCCGCGGCCCGCAGCCGGCGGTCCGCGGCGGACGCCCACGCCTTCCCCGCGGGGGGCGCGCAGGGGCCGCGCGGGCTGCCCGGGGCCGCGGTGCGGGCGCAGGCGGCCCCGGCCGGGAGGCGCAGGGCGGCGCGGCCGCGGACGAGCCCCGGGAGCCCCCCGTCCGGCCGCTGTCCGCGCCGAGGGCAGCGGCGCCGCTGGTACCCAGCCGCCGGCTCCGATGGCACGCGCGCCAGAGCATCCGCGCGCGCACCGGGCGCGCCCGGGCGCGCGCGCGCACACACGCGGGAGCACGCGCCCGGCGCACGCGCGCGCACACCCCGGGGCCCCCTCCCCCGGCGGCCCCCTCTCTGAGCGGCGCGGGTCGGGAAGGGGGTGCGGAGAGGGAAGCAGCCTCCTTACCGGGTGCGGTGAGCCTCCGGGCCACGGCCCGACCCCAGGGGCTGCCACGGCCGCGGACCCTCCCCGCCCGCCCGCCCCCACCACGTAGCCGCGCCGCCGCCGCCGCCGCCGCCGGGAGTCGACGGCCCGGTCGCCGAGTGGTGACGTCACGGCGCGCCGGGCGCGGGCGGCCGCGCCACGTGACCGCCGCCTCTTTTGTCTGCGTCGTGGCGGCCGGGTTCCGCCGCCGGGCCGTGTTGGCGGCCTGGGGGCCGGCTGCGGGGTGGGGGGGCGGCAGGTGGGCCCGGGCCGTTCCTGACGGGCTCAGGCCGAGGCCTGCGCGGTACGAGGGTGCCGTGGGTCTTTCAGAGCGCCGCAGGTACGCGGGATCAGTTACTGAGACGTGGTCCTGGGATGGCGTTTAAGCGACCTCGCACGGTGAGGGCGCCTGGGGGCTCGGCAGCTTAAGCCCCGGACTCGGCCGCGGCGCGGGTCTCGGTCTCTGGCCCCGCCCTGGGCTCCGGCCGAGGTCCTGGGGTGAACGTCCCCTTAAGCGGCCGCCTCACCGTCAGGCCCGAGAACTGAAGTCCCGCGACTTCCGTGAAGGGTACGGGGTCGTTCTCTGCCCCCCCCGAAGTTATTTCCGCCCTGATTTGTGTCTACACCGCTCTTACATGGCTTGAACTTTTCACACTTACGTCATTAGGCAGTACGGTAGTTGCTGTTTTTTAAGCTCTGTCTAGCATTCTGGGCTCACTTTCGCGAACATGCTCGTTCGGGCTTTGACAAACCAGCACCGATTCAGAAAGGACAGAAATTTATTTCTCACAGTTTGTTTTTTAAAGATCTGTTTATTTCAGGGCACGAGTAGGGGGAGGGGCAGAGGGGGCGAATCTTGAAGCCAACTCCGACCTGAGCTCAGAGTCCCTAGTGGGGCTCATCCCAAGGTCCTGAGATCAGGACCGGAGCCGAAACCAAGGGTCCGGTGCTCAACCGATGAGCCACCGGCGCCCCTCTTCCTCACAGTTCTGGAGGCTGGAAGCACGGAGCCGGCCTCTCCTCTCCCCGGTAGTAGACTTCTGGTGTGGCGGAGGCCTGGGGATCTGCGTGGGGGCTCCGTCTTCGGCGCCCAGTCCCACCATGAGTGCCAGCGCTTGCTAATACTAGCTCACTGGGCGCTAGGGTTTCAACCTACGGACCTGGGGGACATACGCGTTCAGACCTAAGATCCATCCTTGCATTCCTTTCACGGTCGTGGCTACATAATAGCCCATTACGTGACTGTATTGTTGTTTGTCCACTCCAGCTGCTGAACATCTATGCAATTTCCAGGTTTTTGCTGTTTCCAACAGTGCTGTTATGAGCATTGCCTTTTGGTGCTTCTGTACAAACATTTCTCTCGGGCGTGTTTATCTTGGAGTAGAATTGATGGGTCTTGGGTGCGTCAGCGTTTACCTTTTTATGATAGTATCCTATCTTTTTTTTTTTTTTTAAAGATTTATTTATTTGAGAGACAGAATGAGAGAGCACATGAGAGGGCGGAGGGTCAGAGGGAGAAGCAGACTCCCCCTGAGCAGGGAGCCCGACGCGGGACTCGACCCCGGGACTCCGGGATCATGACCTGAGCCGAAGGCAGTCGCCCAAACGACTGAGCCACCCAGGCGCCCGATAGTATCCTATCTTTATTCAAAGAGGTTACGCCAGCTTACACTTCTACCAGCATCCATATCTTCCCTAATGCTTCAGACTTCTTGATTTGGGGCAATGAAATGGGAGCTAAATGGTGTCTCATCCCAACCTTATTGGCCTATCCCTGAGGTTCGGCGACTCGTGTATTTATTGGCCACGTGTATAGTTCCTTTACTGTGAAATGTCAGTGTCGGGCTGGAGGGATTTCAGGGCAGATGAAGGAAAAAGATACGACCACGAGGTGGCAGTAACACACACACAGGTTTTCTCCGGCCTGGCTTTGACAGATTTGTGTGTGGGAAGTCCCTCACCTAAGTGGACAATCCAGAGACTCTGGGACATGTAGAAGGAGTGGAGGGCAAGGAAATTCCCAGATGGTTACGTGACCTTGCTCTGCAGCCCAGCAGGAAGTCTCTGGGTCAGAAAGCTCCAAAGGGCAGCAGCAGTTTGTGGTCTTTATAACCACGTGGTTTATCTTATCTATGACTAGCAGGTGTTGGACACAGTTTCATGAAGTATGCAAAACAGGCAGGGCGCTCTTAAATGGCTAAAAGTCTGCTTATTGGGGCTGTGTTTAAAACAACTGGATGTGTAAAAATTTGAGTTTGGTACTTACTGGCAGGTGTTGAGCTTATATAGGTCCCAATCTGCTGCATAGAAATAAACAACCTAGGGTCCAATATACAGGGGCCATCCTTGGCTCACCTTTATAATAGCCAGTTCATGTCTTTTGCTCATTTTTTTTTTTTAGAGGATTTAGTTATGTGTTGCAAGTTTCTTCTCTCATATGTGGCTTGTCTTTTCACTTCCTATTTTTTTTTTAAGATTTTATTTATTTATTTGACAGAGAGAGAGGGGGGGAACACAAGCAGGGGGAACAGCAAAGGGAGAGGGAGAAGCAGGCCTCCCGCAGAGCAAGGAGCCCGATGCGGGGCTCGATCCTAGGACCCCGGGATCATGACCTGAGCCGAAGGCAGACGCTTAACCGACTGAGCCACCCAGGCGCCCCATTCACTTCCTATTTTAATAAATACATGTTCTTAACTTCAAATTTATAAATATTCTGTTTTTTTCCCCATCCTAATATATATTAACTTACTCTTCTAAAAAATTTAGTTTTGCTTTTGACATTTGAATTCTTATGCTCTCTGGAATTTAGTTTATGGTTTTACTTTTTACATACAAATGACTCCCCCCTCACCCAGGTTTGTTTTTTTGACTAGCCCCGCTTTTCCCAACTGATTGTCCTGCCAACTTGGTCATATATTAACATTCCATTTATGTATGGCTGTATTTCTAAACTGCCTATTCTGTTCTACTGGACAGTTTGTGTATCTTAGTGTCCACACCACAGTTTAATTACCATAGTTATATAAAAAGTCTTGATTATTTAGTAGAGGAAAATCTTCCTTATTTTTCTTCTTCATCTTCTATCTGGGTTATTCTTGGTCCTTTGTTTTTCCATACATATTTTAGAACAAGCTTCTCAAGTTGCACAGACACACGGCACTAAAGCTGTTGGGATTTTAATTGGCATTGCATTGAATATACAGATCAGTTTGGATAGAATTCACATCTTTCTGAGTCTTCCAGTTTATAAACAAGGGATAGCTATCTGCTTATTAGGTCTTCACTAGTGTCTTTCCAGTAAAGGTTTACTGTTTTCTGTATCCAGATCTTGCACATTTTGTGTTGGGTTTATTCCTAGATACTTTGTAGTTTGTGTTGCTATTGTGATATCCTTTAAATTTACACTTTGTAATAGTTGGTTGCTAGAGTAGAAATAGTTTTGTAAATTGATATTTTATCCAGCTGCCTTACTGGATACAATTTGTCATTGATTTTAATAATTTTTCTATTCCTTCTAAACATTTGTTTATTGATTCTTTTGGGTTTTCTATATAAACAATCACTGTATGAAAATAATGTCAGTTCCAGTCATTTTGCTTTTTATTTTTCTTAAAGTATAATACTGGTTTGGACCTCTAGTATAATGTCAATAGAAATGGTGATATCTTCTTGACATTCTTGACTTGGGCACTTTACTTGATCCTGATTTTTGAAAAGGAAATTTAGAATTATTTTGCAGGTTTTTTGGTAAATAAATTTAGAATGTTTTTTTTTTTTTAAAGATTTTATTTATTTATTTGACAGAGAGAGACACAGCGAGAGAGGGAACACAAGCAGGGGGAGTGGGAGAGGGAGAAGCAGGCTTCCCGCGGAGCAGGGAGCCCAACTTGGGGCTTGATCCCAGGACCCTGGGATCATGACCAGAGCTGAAGGCAGACACTTAACAACTGAGCCACCCAGGCACCCGTATTTATTGTAATTCTTGATAAATTTAGTCTTCGATTCTATTTTACTTTTTGATTTCTATTTGTTCCATGTATTTTGTTTCTGGCTTTTTTTTCTTTCTTGCATTCTTATTTTTGGATTAACTCAATTCTTCTTCCTCTTCTTCTTCTTTTAAGATTTACTTATTTATTTTAGAGAGAGAGAGAGAGCATGGGGGTGAGCAGAGGGAGAGAGAGACTCTCAAGCAGGTTCCACGTTGAGCATGGAGCCTGATGTGGGACTCGATCTCATGACCCTGAGATCATGACCTGAGCTGAATCAAGAGTCTGATGCTTAACTGACTGAGCCATCCAGACACACTTAACTGAGTTCTTTTGGAACCTTTTTTCCTACTCCATGTTTTTCTTTCTTAAGATTTGGAATTATGCTTCCTCTTTTCTTAGTGGCTATTCTTGAAAGTTATCATGTATTTTAATTTAACAAGGTCTAAAGTTTAAACACAAAGTTGACACTTTCTTCTGGATGGTACAAGAGCTCTAGAATACTTAGCTCTTTGCTTACCCCTTTGACTAATACAAAACTGTTGTCTAATTTTTTGTTTCTGTCTTTTCTTTTTAACTGCACAAATCAGTCGTTATCATATGTTTGTTTGGTTTCATATACAGAGAAAGAAGTAGAGCCAATATGAGGATGCGTTTGCAAACTAACTGCCACTTAGAGTAACTGGGATAGCTCAGTCTAACGGGACCATCCTCCAAGAAGCCATGTAAAGTGTGTCTCAGGAAAGTCTGCCTGGGGGAATATTTTAAAGATATCTTCAATCACTCAATAAACTCTTGGGTAAGGAAGAGAGGAACTTTCCTACAGACTCCTGTTTTCCTTCTGTCATGAGGGTTAACTCCCCCACCCTTCTGTGTTGTGCATGTGTGTCCTTTGGCATCTGACAATTCAGCATCATTGGGGTGGCCCCAGGACAGAAGGAAAGGGGTATCGTAGTGTTGGCAGGGAGGAGGAGGTCAGTGTGTCCCTGCATGAACGTGGTTGGAGTTATGCAGAGGTGGTCCCAGCAGGTGGCTGGAGCTGAGATTAAGGGTTCTGGAGAAAGGTGAGGCCAAGAGACTGAAGTAGAGCACATGATGAAAACTAAAGAGAATGTTCTCAAAAGGAGGAACAGCATTTCAGAGGCACAGTTACGGGGGAAAGCACTAATCCTTTAAGAGATGCAGAAATAACAATTTCTCTCCAAATGAGGATTCCCTTTATGTGAACTCTTGTAGATGTGTTTTTACTTTTGTGAGCCTTTTCTGTCATCTGAGGTTGGATATACATGAGTTTGAACCCCTAGCGTTGGGAGTAAGTAGAAATGTAGGAAGGAGGCTGCTGGGTGTGTGTGTGTGGGCACAGACAGTCTTGCTGTGGTAGTTTGGGAGAGACAAAACAAAGGCAAAGAAAAGCCTTTGAAATGGCCTGTCTCAGCAGCCCTCCAGGAATGTTACTAAATATGTTAGGACATCTAAGAGAGCTGGATCAGAGCGTTCCCCTATTTTCTGATGGGTTCTCAAAGTTATTATTGGCAGAATTTTTCATTTGAGAGAAAGTTTGAGAAATACCTCTGGGTACTCTTAAGGGCTTCCTTTTTCAGACTCACTGAAGTAGGTAAGAGTAAATAAAAATCATGCAAACATTTTTCAAACCAGATTGTATCGGGTCAAGCAGAATTAGAAAGGCTGGGTAAAGTATTTCTAGAACGTCTGTCTGAAAGCATGGAAAACTACCAAGACAGCAAAGCACGTGTGGGCCAAGACACTGCAGGAAAGGGAGTCCCATGGAGGGAGACCAACACTTGGCCCCACTTGAGCTCTCTCCCAATTCTAGAGTTGAAGCTAAAAGGATGAGAAGAGCCTCTGGAAGTTTCTCAGGGGAGATGATACCCAGAGTTCAGGGCTCATCAGTGAGAAGGGGTCCTGGTAAACATTCCAGGCTTCCCGTTGGACCCCAGGAGTAACAATGAACCAAAATAGCCTCCTCTCACAAAGATTGAAATCCAGCTTAAGTCAACTCAATCAGGTCTTTTGTCCCTGCCCTAATTCCTCCTATAAACAAGAGTAAATCCTCTCTGGGTGAACAGAGTCCAGTACTTCAAATGATCTCTATCCTTTTTGTCCATTAGGTTTAGCACTTAATGAAAAATAGACATATAAAACAGGTGAGACTTTACCAAAACCTTGGAGACAAGTTGCATAAATAAAGAGCCCTCCAGGGGATGTAGATAGTAGAGTTATCACACCCAGACTTTAAGATAACTAATTCGTGTGTTCCGGAAATTAAATTATAAGATGGACAATTTCAGGAGAGAACTGGAGACTATAAAAAAAAGAACCAAATGGAAACTCTAGAACTGAACAATGTCATGACAGACACTAATAATAGATGGGTTTAACTGTTGATTAGCATGTACAAAATAAAAGAAAGCAAATATAGTAACACTAATATTACATAAAGGAGATTTTAGTGTCAAGAGCAAGATAGAAGGAAATGAAGAGGAATGTTTCTTTTTTTTTAAGATTTTATTTATTTACTTGAGAGAGAGCACAAGCAGGGGGAGCTGCAGAGGCAGAGGGAGAAGCCGACTCCCAGCTGAGCAGGGAGCCCGACGTGGGGCTTGATCCTGGGACCCCAAGATCATGACCTGAGCTGAAGGCAGACGCTTAACGACTGAGCCACCCAGGAGCCCCTGAAGAGGAATATTTAATAATGATAATGAGGTCAGTTCACTAAGAAGATATAACAGTATAAAATTAGTAAATACCTTAGAAGAAAACATCAGAATATAGACAATAGAAACAGTGGGATAGCTAAAGTGAGAAAGAGAGAAGTTGTCCATTGTAGTGGGAGACTCCAGGACACCTCTCTCATTCGCCGGAAGACTGAAGACAAGACACAGCAGGTAAGTGTTGTTCTGCAGCAATTGCAGGACGCACATGCTTTTCCAGTGCTAGAACATTCTAGAACATTCGCCAAAGTTAGCTACATGTTAGACCATAAAGCAACTCAGCAATTGTTGAATGACTGAGATCAAATCAAGAATATCCTCTGGCCACAGAAGAATTAGTTTAGAAATCAGTAACAAACAAGAGAACTAAAATACCCCAAATGTTTAGCAATCAAGTGACACATTTCTGAATACCTGATGGGGTGATCCAGTCACAATGGAGATGAACACATATTTTGAACTAACTATATTGAAAATATCTAAGCTTATAGGATGCAGAAAAAGCTGTGCTTGCTTAGAGGGAAAATTTATAGCCTTAAAATTGATCATTTATCGATGAAAATATAGAATATATACCATGTATTGTATATACATCACAATTTAAAAAGCACAAAAAAAGAAAGGCTGAAAATTAGTGATGTCAGTATCCATCTTAGGAAGTTAGAAACGGAGCACCAAACTAACACAGAGAAAGTAGAAGGAAGGAGATGATACAGAGTACAATGAAACAGAACACAAGTTCACAACAGACTCAGTAAAGGTACAAGTTGGTTCTTTGAAATCACTGATAAAATAGAAAAAAGCCTTTGTCAGATGTCAAGCCCAGAGGAGCAGCGGCATAAATAGCCAGAGAAGGGGACAAAGCTGTGAATTTTCAAAAGGTCCCTAGAGATCTAACGTGCATCTGAGGCTAAGAACCTCAGTTAGGGGTGATCTGGAGGACCCCCAGTGTTGGTATCTTTAGATTTTTTTTCTTCTCTTAAGCCTCTTCAGATTCCCCCAGTGAAGAATCTTCCAGTTTCCTGCCTGGAGGCATAAACCTGGTTGATAGCTTTCTGGGAATTGAGCAGGGAGAGAGGGCTGAGGGCTGAGGCGTCTTACTATTCAAAAAATAAGCTCTCCCTTTATCCTTCTGTTCTCCTAACAGAAGCTCTCAGCCTCTGCTGGATCTGGTGACCCCAAACCAGATGCCAAAGCCCAAGTCCCCCGCTAGGGAGCGAGAGAGGCAGCCCAGGAGGAAGGGGGGCACTGACGGTCTCACTGTTTCTTTCTTTCTTTTTTTTTTTAAGATTTTATTTATTTATTTGACAGAGAGAGAAACACAGCGAGAGAAGGAACACAAGCAGGGGCAGAGGGAGAGGGAGAAGCAGGCTTCCTGAGGAGCGGGGAGCCCGATGCGGGGCTCGACGCGGGGCTCGATCCCAGGACCCTGGGATCATGACCTGAGCCAAAGGCAGATGCTTAATGACTGAGCCACCCAGGCACCCCGGTCTCGCTGTTTCTTAAACAGACTTTCCGTCAGGGTTTTATCTTAGCCCCACTCTTACCCTCTCCGCCAGTGGTCCCTGGTGCCGGGAGCTGCCGTGGTGGGGGGTTCATGCAGCGCATATCTGCCTCCTCACATGTAAACGTTTCTCCAAGTCTGTCTCTTACCTTTCAACTTTGCCTGTGGTGTCATTCATTGTTTAGAAGTTTTTAATTATAATGAGGTCAAATCTGTCCAAATCTGCCCCTTTCCCTTTGGCTGTGTTCCATCCCAGTTCGCTGGGGGAGTGCTCTGTCCTCCCTTTCCCCGCTGATTGGAACTGTCACACTCACATGTTGTTAACAACCGCAGACTAAGTATCGCAGATACAGAGTTCTCTTTTCGGACTCCATGAAGTCCCGCCGACCAGAAGATTCCTGTCCCAATTCCACCTCTTTCATCACTGTCCCTTCAGTCTGCTCCTGCTGTCCTCCAGGCTAGATGGTACCAACCGTTTCGCACCGCGTCCTTCCGAAGTGCTGGGATCATGCTCTAGATATCCTGTAGCACTCACCTTTTCCTCACTTAACAGTCCATGTTTCCATGTAGCTCTATAGCTCTTTATTGTTTTTTTTTTAAGATTTTATTCATTTGAGAGAGAGAGAGGGAGAGCACAAGCAGGGTGAGCGGCAGGGAGAGGGAGAAGCAGGCTCCCTGCTGAGCAGGGAGCTCAGGACCCCAGGATGATGACCTGAGCTGAAGGCAGATGCCCAACCATCTGAGCCACCCAGGCATCCCTCTATACCACTTTAGAAGTAGAAATTATATTCATTGCTTTTTGTTGTTTGTGAAAGTAACACATGGTCTTACCTGAAAATTTGACATGTATAGAAAAACAAAAACTTAATTTACTTCTACTCCTATCACCCAGAGAGAGGCTTTGGAAGCAGGGAGTCTTCATGTCCCGTGTGCCTTGGGGCCTCTTCTTGCGGCAGACCCCCCTTTCTGGGAGGCATCCATCTGAGGTCAGCCTGGGCCACCGCCCTCTCCAGGGTGGGCCTGGCTCCCCCAGCAGCCCCTGGAGTCTTCCCCACCTTGTGAGGGGCTCGGGGAGAGGCCTTCCAGAGGCCGGCTAGTTGCCAGGGGAGTGAGCCAAGGAGGGAGAGATGAGGATGAACCCTGACCCATTGAGGCCCTTGGGCCTTCTCCCAGCGGGGGTGGGGGAGAAGCGGCCTGGAACCAGCTGCCTTGGGACCCGCAATCTGACCTTGAGATAAAGCTTTCTTTGAAACAGTTTCTGAAAGGTCCTTTAAAGTTAAACAAAACACATAGTGAAAACATTTCGAGGTTGAGAGAAGTGTGCTCTGTAGTTTAACGTGAGGCGTCTCAGTGAACAGAAGGTTATGGTTCCAGAACAATGTAGTCAATTATCTCAAAAACTGAAAGCCACCTCTGATGTCTAACCAGTCAACCAACCAAACATATCCCCTCACATTTTTTTAAAAGCAGAACAAATGTCTTTTAAAACGTAAGCCCTAGGCCTGCATTTAGGGTCACTCTAAGTTACTAGGGGAGAAATTCGTAAGGAGAGGAGACTGATCTATAAGTAGAATATTCTTTTATGTAAAAAAAAAAATCCACTTTCAGAAAAAATAAAAATGTGAAACAGGAGAAGTAATGCTGGCTATTGGCTGTGAGAGTCGAAGTGAACTCACTCAATCCGAATGGTCCCTATCTGTCATTCGGAGGGTTCCCTCCCACTCTCCTGTCTTCAGCCAGTGGAGATTAAAGCCAGTTCTTATTGTGTTCTTTGTATCCAATTTCTTTTAATGTCCCAATGGTTAAAAACCACAATTCTTCTTAGAGAGTCTTTAGAGTTTTTGGATGAAGATTTAAGCTAATTCAGCTGCTGGCTCCAACATTCTGCAGTGCACTTTGTTCCAGGAAGACCCATTTTGTCTGTATTCTGTTGGAAGCGATGTAGTTGTCATGGGGAAGAGCCCATCTTATGTCTAACGGCATATTTGATGACAGTAAAACATACTTTATATAACTGTCTTCCCAGCCCAAGAATGTAGGATGCTACCCAGCGGAAGTGTGACCTCTTTACAGTTCCATCCGCTTAGAAAGGATCACCCCCAAACTCGGCAGTTGTATGTGGCTTTGGGGGGCAGCTGGAGGTCCCTGCTCAGGGAACGCTATCAACCAACGGTGCCAGGTGAGGAAATACTCACTCATGCTCATGTCTCTTGGGCCAGGTTAGCGATCCTGAGTACCCCTTTTATCATAAGCTTGCCTATGACTCTATAATGAATGGGGGTAAAACACTTCATTGGGTTAGCATAAATTGTAGTTATATCTGTCTTTGGTTTATTTCATGTTTTCCACCCCAGCAAATTTTCATGTTCACTTTTCAAGCTGCCAAGTCACCTTGGTTAGCTGGGAAGAGATTTCTATATGACCGGCAAAGGTAAAGGATACTGTGTCCAGGGTCTGGTGGCCTCCAATCAGGTTCTCCTGGGTGCCACTCTGGGACCTGCCCTGGCCATGTCCTGAAATCACCAAGGTCTCAGTGTCCACACCTCTATAACTAGGATAATACTATCGTTTTTGCTCACTTCATAGGGTTGTTGGGAGGATCACATGAAATAACAGATAGGAAAGGATGTTGGGAGTGAAAAAGGGCTAGATAAAATGTCGCTGGTTACCCACATAGCATCTGAGCTGTTTCTGAAATAGTCCTTCATTCATTATAAGTTGTGCACCTAATTACCAAAATTCCGCTTGTCTAAGACTTAACCACTTCCTGCAAATTCAGTAGTGACTTCCTTACTTGGTTCCTGGGTAAACCGCCCCCCCCCCCAACAACAAAACACAAAATCCAGTTAGTGGGATGTGAAAACATGCAGTGTCAGGCATCCAAGGGTAATGGGTTTCCTGTACGGATCTGGACCTCGGGGTGCCAGAGCCTCCCTCCTTGCCCACTGCTACTGGTAAGCTGCATTTCGACAAGCAGCACTGCTTCCTGGAGAGAAATCTTTCAGGGGCCAGCTCCTTCCGGGGTGCTGCAGTCTTCCTCACCCACCTTGCAGGCCTGATCAGGCTCCCCTGCAGCTGAGGACACTCTGGCATCGGGGTGTGGTCCTGCTGTCTCCGAGGAAAGAAGCCAGGTGAACCACTGTTTCCTATTTGGCCACTTGGCTGACACCTGGATAGCGTGGTTCTCTCTTTAAACGCTGGCGTCCCAAAGTGCTGGGTGTTTGGCCCAGTGATAAAACAGCCCATTGTGTTAATAGCCACCTTCAGCCCATCAGCTTGGGAAAGGGAGTTGAGGCTTTGAGATACTATGTATAATAGCAAAGCAATATGTTACATATAGGAATAGACAAAAGAAATGTAAGCTATGAAGAAAACTGTATAATGTTATCGAATGATAATTCTTTTGAAAAAAGGATGAACCATGTTCTTGGATAGGGCAACCCTATCACGTCAGTTGCAATTCCAACAAGATCCCGTTCTTCCTCTCCGTGCCCCCCCGCCCACAACTCCACAGGGGGAGTCCCCTCGCTCTGCCAACTTCTCTTCCATCCACCACTCTCACTGATTTGGACTTATTTCAGGCTCCCATTTCCCTCCCGAATGACTGAAACACCTCTTCACTGTTGCTTCTTGGCAATCCGTCTTCCCACAGTACAGCTGTTTGACTTCCCAAGTCCTTGTGTAGACACGCACCCACTTACTACTCTCCAGGGGTTCGCATCATTCTTGGTATAGAGCCCAGACTGCAGAGTGAGGCACCCAGGCGCCTCCCCCTCCTGCTCCACTCACCCCTGCAGAGGTAGCTCCCCAGGAGGCCCTGGCTCCTTATGCTGGGTTCACTTCTTCCCGTCCGCCCCACCCCATCTCTTCCTCCTTCCCTTTGTCACCTGATGAGCTCCTGCTGACTATTTGACTGACCTTGACTCTGATCTCCTCTGGGAAGCTTTCCTCCATCTGCCAGGTGGGGATAATGACCCCTTTGCCATACGGCTTTGGTACCTGTCTGGTGGTGGTTAGAGTTACCACATATCCTGGTTTACGCCTGTTGTCCCTAGGTCTGGTTGGTGGCCAAGAAAAATGGAGACCAGCTATGGCCCCACATAGTTTAATAGGATTGAGAACCAAGACTGCATTAACGTGACTTGAACTCCAAGAAAGTCATGCCCGGGAAGATGAAGTGGCAAATAGCTTTGTTGTTTCAGGAACTTCTAGAGAATCCATTTATCTGAATCTGGACTACTCAGAGGGTCCTCATCAGGGTCAGAGCCCCTTCTGACAGGAGCTGATTACTCATCTGGCTTATCAGACGCCTGTTTACTTCTTGAGGCCCCTTCAAAACCCTAACCTCCCTCTGTTCACCACCTCTGAAATGTTACGTCACGATTGTGGTCAATCCCAATCATTTTCCTGGAAACCAGTCCTCCAAACCTTCTGAATAGGCATCCGCGACTGCCTTCCTCCGAGACGCCCCTAAGGAAGTGGTTTGTCGACACGTGGCTCCCCCTTCCCACATTAATCAACAAACTGAACTTTGCTCAAAACAGGTCATTCTGATGATCTCTTTGGGGAGTCAGCAGCCAACACCCCTTTTACTCTGAAAGGAATCCCAGTTTGGATGATAAATTAAATGATTCCTATCATAAATTTTGTTACCCTGTTATATATAACATTTATTGTTCTCATGTAATCCTTATAATAACCTCACAACGTGGGTATTACTGTTCTACTCTTGGACAGATACAGAAATGAAGACCAGAGTTTTGTCAGCGATCCAAGATCCCATAACTACTGTAAGGGACTAAGCTACAACCCCAGGAATCGACTCCAGAACTGGTATTCTTTTTTTTTAAAAAGTAGTTTTCCTTTTAATTTTAAAATCATAAACTTACAGAAACGTTACTAGTACAACCTCCCCCCTTCCCAAACCACCGGAGAATCGGGATGTTGATGCCGAGACAGATGCCCAGTCACTGTCAGATCTCGCTCTGCTGGAGCCGGTCACGCCTATCGTGATGTGCAGAGCAGAAGAGTCAGAGCGACATCTTGCCTTCAGGTCTCCTGTCTCTTGACTTCCCTTCGGGCTCCCCTTGCCCGCGGCGACCTTGCCATGTGTGCCTGTGAGTTCGCTGCCGCCCCCTCCTGCTTAGGTTCGGGCTAGGCTCGGCAGAAGCGGGGTCACACGGGACAAGGCTCTGATTCACCCCGTTATGATGACGTATGCTCCCCTCACTTGATTCGGGTGCTGTCTGCCAGGCCCTTTCACTCTAGAGTCATTCTTTTCCACTTTGTAATATTTTGTGGGGGGCGGCATTTCATTTTATTTTGGATTACTGTTGTTGTTCTAACTTTCTTCCTACCCCACCCCCAGCTTTATTGAGGTATAACTGACAAATAAAAACTGTATATTTCAGCTGCACGATGTGATACAATTTGATACAGGAATACAGTGTGAAATGCTTGCCACACTCCATCCTCTTCCGCGGTGACCATTCTCTTCACCTCCGAACGGTCGAATCGCTGTATTGTGCACCTGAAACTAATATAACACTGTGTTAACTACACTGGAATTAAAAAAAATAAAAGAAAAAAACCAGAGCTACTCTCAGATTTCGAGTATATAATACAGTATTATTAACTATGGTCACTGAGCTTTACTTTCTCTCTCCAGAAGTTACTCATCCTGTAGAACGGAGACTTCGTGGCCTCTGACCAGCATCTCACCTCCCCACGCCCATCCCTGGCGACCACCTGTCTACTCTCTGCGTCCGCGAGTTCTGTTTTAGGTCCCGCAGACAGGGAGAGCTCGTAGCAGGTGGCCCTTCTCTGTCTGGCTTCCTGTGCTTAGCATCATGTCCTCCAGGAGCCCCAAGGCGTCTCCAATGATTAAGGCTGAATGGTATGTCCACACCACATTCTCTTTACCTGTTCATCCATCCTTAGGTCGTTCACGTGTCTTGGCTGTTCTAAATAATGCTGCGGTGGCCACGGGAGAGCACGCATCTCTTCGGGATCCTGATGTTTCCTTTGAACATATACTCAGGAGTGGGATCGCTGGGTCATAGGGTAGGTCTGTGTTTCATTGTCTGAGGAACCTCCATTCTGTTAACAGTACCAATTTGCATTAAAAAAATTATTTATTTTTTTGTTTGTTTGTTTACTTATTTATTTATTTACATCAGTTTAGATTCATGTTTCCTATTTTATTCAGTGGGTTGTAACTTGCTACCTCATTATTTATTTTGATGCGCTGATTTTTCTAGATTTGGCCTCGGGGGTACTCAAGATGCCTCCAAATACTCTTGACACTCCATCATTCTTTCAAGCAATTTGTTGTTTTGGTGGGTAGATAAGTATCTTTTACTTCTCTGAAGGACTGAATTAGGTATGTATGGAATTTAAGTTAATTGCATTTGCTCAGAGGATGGTGTTTCGTGTCATAATGAAATACCCCTACAGAATTTGAGCAAATACCAGTGAGAGTACCAGCTTATCAGCGGGAGCGCTCACAGAGCGTCTGCTACATTGGTTCCGTGTTTTTCTCCATTGAGAGACTGTAATTAGAAACTGAAGTTTTGAATAACGTTTTTTTGTCACTCTTATTTTTTAGTTTATTTTTTAAAATCTGTATATTTGTTGTTCTGCGAAACTTTATTAGTAGTTCTGCAAATTCTCTGCCACCCTTAGGGAACAGATCGTGTATGTAAGTTGTTTCTTCAGGCGCTCGGCAGTGAGCACCTGCCCCTTCTGGGCTCCCACGCGGGGCCCGTATGCGATTGGCTGGCAGGCTCATCTCACCCACCGGCCTTTTGCAGGCTCCTCAGGGCAGAGGCTTCCACATCTGTTCCCCGTCTGGGGCCTGGCGTGTCCAGAGGCCCAGCAGCGCCGGTTGGATGGCCAGGTGGTCGTGGCTCTGTCTCTCTTCTGCCCACAGGATGGCAGCATCTACTCTAGGCTTCAGCCCCACCAGGGGCCTGGCTGTCTGGGAATCTGAAAATACCTGGGTTCTCCCTGAAATGAAGAGAGTACTGGAGTACTCCTCCATGAAATAACACGTTGTCATCTGTCCACACTCTCTTCCAGGTGCTCCCGGGAAGATGACCTCTGTCGGGTGAACTACGGGATGGTTTTGGGCTGCGGCACCCACCCCGGAGTGACTAGCTGGGCTAGAGTTTGTAGGAGCTAAAACTGAGCAAGCAGGCTGGAATCACTCGCTCATTTCGTGCCCAAGTCATTAGGTGCAAAGAATTGCTATTTAGGGCGCCTGGGTGGCTCAGTTGGTTAAGTGACTGCCTTCAGCTCAGGTCATGATCCCAGGGTCCTGGGATCGAGTCCCGCATCGGGCTCCCTGCTCTGCGGGGAGCCTGCTTCTCCCTCTCCCACTCCCCCTGCTTGTGTTCCCTCTCTCGCTGTGTCTCTCTCTGTCAAATAAATAAATAAAATCTTAAAAAAAAAAAAAAGAATTGCTATTTAAAGAGAAAGGGGGAAACCAACTATTTGAGCACTTGCTGTATGCTGTGTGGTTTAAACCAGGGGCTGTCACATGTGAGTGGGCATCCCAGGCACCTGGAGGACTGGTTCAAGCTCACGCTGCTGGCCCATCCCCAGGGCTTCCAACTCAGTAGGTCTGGGATGGGGCCTGAGAATTTGAGTACCAATGAGTTCCCAGGTGCCCGGGAATGCTGCTTTCAGCAGTCACGTTTAGTTACTGTCTCTGTTTTGCAGACGAGCAAACTGAGGCACGGAGGCTTAACTACTCGCCTAACGACACACCCAGTAAGAGGGGGCTGGCATGCACACCCTGCTCAGCCCGACTCCAAGCCCCCGCTCCGTCCACCGCACCGTTCTCTAGGAGAAAGGGAATGAATCTGTACTTGGGGGGTTTTCTGAATCATACGGCTCCGAAAATATGACACAATGCCCAACTCCGGTGTGATGCTTTTAATTTGCAAGAGTTTAGCCATCACAGTCAATCTTTGCCATTCTTCTGGCGCTCGAGCAAGGAAGGAGGCTGCCGAGGCCAACAGGCTGGTGCGCTAGTGTGTGAAGAGACATGATGCACTACTCAGTTCAAATTAAAATGTCTTTGGAAACAAAATATCGATGTTGTAAGTATTTTAATCACCAAACTCCAACTTTGAAACTAGAATAGGACATGAAAATAAGGCACAAGTAAGTAATTATAAAACCCATTAGCTTGCCGTAGAGAGAGAAGACAGTCTATCCATGGAAATAAATGAGGAAATAAAAGCTGGTAGGCTTTCTCTAGGAGTGAATCAGCAAATTAAGGACTCGGCTCCAGGCCGCAGACGTTGAGTCCCTGGTATGCCAGCCCCTGGTGTACGGGAACCTGTTCTAGATTTATTACTCAGGCACAACTTGACTCCACACCCCCACTTCCCGATTTTATACAAAAAATCAAACCTGATCTCTCAGAGGCAGGGATGGATTTTATTCTGAATATTTATGGGAAGGGCTGGGACATGGAGGAAGAGGATGGAGAGAGGCCACCTTGGCTGAGGTGGTCCGTCTGGCTGGAGAAACTGGCCTCTTCCCTTTGGCCAGGCTCCTGCTTGGCTCCTGTCTCGCCTCGGCAGTCAGGTCTCACCTGTCTGGTCCAAATCCAACAGGCTCACCTGGGCTTTCAAATGCAGCCTTATTAATAGTTCATGGAGGGCAGAGGTGGGCCAACTGGGGACTTCTACATTTAGAGAGGATGCTGCCATGCTGCCCAGCCTCAGGTGAGTCTCACCTGCTACCTGGGATAGCTGTCTCTAAAGAGAAACTCGGTTACTAGCACCTGTTTGTTCTGAACTACCAGAGCCTGCCCCAGATCTGAGGGTTTCTGAATGTTTCCTCCTACCCTCTTCCTTGAAAAGAGTTACAACTAAGCACTTGGAAATGAGTGCTTCTGTCTAGGCACAGCGTGGTCCCCTGAGCAGAAGGGTCCCCTGGCAGAGCACTGGGAACAGGGCGTGTGGGGGAGCATCACCTATCCCCCCCCACCTGCCCTGGTGGCCCAGCTCACCAGGAGGGCCGCAGGCCAAGCGCTGGGCTTCCCAGGGACTGTGAGCTCACAGGGAAACATGGTGGCTTTGGAGGAAGAGAATGCCATAAAGGAAGACTGTAAACTGAGAAGCTTTACTAGACAAAGCAAAAATAACACGTGAAAATGTTCCTTGGTCTGGAGGTTGGGAGCCCTAGCTTTCATCGGCTGCATCAGCCGGGGGTGGTCTTGACTCTTGGTTTTCATTTCCTATCAACTGAGCCCTCCCCTGGTCTGCCGGTCGGCCACAGTCCGAGCTCTGCAACTCTGCTGGGGGAGGCCAGGGCTCCCGGGCGGTTTCCAGGTCCAGGTGGAGGCAATAAATTCATGAGTTGTGGGATCCAGCCCCGCATTGGACTCTGCACTCAGCAAGGAGTTTGCTTGAGATTCCCTCCCTCTGCCCCTCCCCCTCTCTAAAATAAATAAATAAACCTTAAAAAACAAAACAAAACAGGGGCGCCTGGGTGGCTCAGTGGGTGAAGCATCTGCCTTTGGCTCGGGTCATGATCCCGGTCCTGGGACCCAGCCCTGGGTGGGGCTCCCTGCCCAGTGGGGAGTCTGCTTCTCCCTCTGCCTCTGTCCTACTCGTGCTCTCTCTCAAACAAATAAACAAAACCTTTAAAAATAACAACAACAACCCGAACAACCATATCCTCCAAGCCTTTCCAGAGAAACACCCCGTGGTGGATCCATCACAAACATCTGCATTTCTATTAATTAGAAAATCTCAGCAAATAAGAATTTCAGATTTCTACCCCTTTTCTCAAGGAACTCAATTTGTGTAAAAACTAGTAGCAAAACCTTGTTAGTTGATTTATATGGTGTGTTCATAGATGATCTGGGAGGCTTACCACATTAAAGTGCACACAGAAAAAACCACCAGGACCTATCACCTCACACCTGTCCGAATGGCTGTTGCCAAAAAGATAATAGCGAGTGTTGGTGGGAATGTGGAGAGAAGGGAGCCCATGTGCCCTGTTGGTGGGAATGCAAACTGGTGCAGCCACTGTGGAGAAGAGCATAGAGGTTCCTCTCAACCCCAAACATGGAATTACCATATGATCCAGGGGCGCTGGGCTGGCTCAGTTGGTTGAGTGTCTGACTCTTGATTTTGGCTCAGGTCATAATCTCGGGGTTGTGAGATCGAGCCCCAAGTCGGGCTCCGCACTGGGTGTGGAGCCTGCTGGAGATTTTCTCGCTCTCCCTCTGCCCCTCCCCCTGAGCTCTCTCTCTCTTTCTCTCTCTCTAAAATAAATAAGCAAATCTTTAGGAAAAAAAAAAAAAAGAATTACCATATGATCCAGTAATTCCACTTCTGGGTATTTACCCAAAGGAAACAAAAATATTACCTGGAAAAGATATCTGCCCCCCAGAGCTCACTGCAGCACTATTTATAACAGCCAAGACACAGAAACAACCTAAGTGTCCACTGATGGACGACTGGATAAAGACAATCCTAGGGACACAATGGAATCTTGTTCAGACATAAAAAAGAAGCAAGTTTGTGACCATTTGTGACCACATGGACAGATCCTGAGGGCACCATGCGAAGTGAAGCAAGTCAGAGAAAGACAAATACCATATGATCTCACTTACCCATGGAATTGAATCAAAACCAAACCCCAAACTCACAAGCTCAGAGATATGGAGGACAGATTGGTGATGCCAGAGGTGGGGCTTGGCGGTGGGCAAGATGGGTAAAGAGAGTCAAAGGAAACAAACTCTCAGTTAGAAAATAAAGCAGCCCTGGGGACGGATGTGATGCCCAGCACAGTGGCCGATAGAGCCTTGCATTCGTGGGAGCTGCTCAGAGAGCCCATCTGTTCTCATTTCAAGAAACAAAAGTTCTCATTTCAAGAAACAAAATTGTAACTATGTCTGGTAACAGGTGTTAAGTAGACTTGGGTTTATTTCACATTGTATACAAATATGGAATTACTATGCTGAACACCTCAAACTAATATGTTGTATGTCAATGATAACTTAACAAAAATTAGTTAAAGGTACACATAGAATATATAAAATGCAGGTAAGAAGTCAGGTGAATCAGGAGCCATATCTATCCTCCGCCTCCATTTTCTTATCTTTAAAATCAGGATCCTACGGCCCTTGTCACAGCAGTCGGGTGGGTGGAGGAGGTCCCACTGTGGTCCTGCTCTCCAGGGGCGGCTCGAAGCAGGACCCCAGCCCCGGGAGCGGCTCAAGGACTCTGACCACCCCTGCCCGGCGGCCCCTCTCTCACCCTGCTTTCCGCCTTTTCTTGACTAATTCATATTTCAGCCAATATTTGTCCAGGGCCGACCAGATGGCGTTCATTGTGCTAGATGAGGGGGATACAGGGATGCCCAAAACGTGGACCCTGCTTGCTGACACTTGGCACCCAGAGTCAGGAGGCCCGCCCAGAGGGAAGTCTGCCTCAACGTGACCCGCCCGCCCCAAAAATAGAGCGGGGTGTGGTTTACCAGAGCAGACATGGACTCTGAGGTCGGGCAGACCTGGGCGTGGACCCCGGTTGGCTTTATCTGTTGTGAACTGTGATTAGTAATAACCATCTTTCCGGGTTCTGGTGAAATCCTTGAAATGTGTGCCAGACAAACAACAGCTGTTAACACTGAGCGCTTACCTTGTGTGCCAGGCGCGCTTCCTGTACTCACTTCAAACTCAGCCCTACTACCGCCGTCACGCCCAATGCTGGAGGCCCAGAGACGCCGAGCCAACTCCCCGAGGCCAGCCAGCCATACAGCCGGGCTCCGACTCCCGGGTATTTGGGTCCCTGCCCATGGTCTCCCTCGCGGCCCCACGTGGCTTCTCAGCTGCGGCCACGCATCGGGATCATCTGCGGGGCTTTGGAAACCATGAGCGCTTTGTGCTCACCCTGGGAGATTCTGACTCGGGAGGGCTGGGACGAGATCCAGGGATCTGTAGTTCGGGAGAGCTCTCTGGGAGATCCTGACGTTCAGGCCGAGAAGCAGCGCGTGTTTAAATCAAATGTAGTCACCATCATCAGAGTGAGGGACATGGAGACCAAAAGTGGGTCTTGAAGGATATGGCGGGGTTTTCTTGGCAAAAGGTAGGTAAGGACGCTCCAGGTAGAAGGAGCGTGCGAGCCCGTGGGAGCTTAGGTTGGCGAAACTTGGGCTAATGGGCCCCAGGTGTGTGTGTGTGTAAGTGTGAGCCAGGGAACTATGTGGGGGCGAGGGGCTGGGGAGAGGGTCCTGGTCCCCCGGTGACAGAATTAGAAATCACGGTGAAGCATGTGGACTTTATCCCACAGATGGGGACAGCACCTGAGGAACTGTCTTGTGGGATGTAACATGATTTGATCTGTGGATGGTCTTTATTTAGAAGCTTGTCTTTTTGATTCCAAGAATTTTGGCAATATTGAA